ATTATGGGCCAATTTAACTTCTTTAGCTTCCTGGTTCGGGCATGACGGATCTTGATCATAGCATTTGAGATCTCGACGGGCAGCGTAAAGTCGGGCGAGGACAGCAGGCGGTGAAGGTTCCGACAGGTGTTGGCATCGGAAGCCCGTGAACATTTCCCCAACTTTTGCAAAGTCGGATCACGTAGCCCTGCAAGGCAAAGGAAGTGGAACTTTAGTCGTCGAAGCAAGCACTCATTTGGAAACATATTGATGCTAGGAAATACCTTATAAAAGCCATATAACAGTTGTAGCCTCGTCGTTCCATCTTCCGATGAGCTTTCTTGGCAAGACGACACGTACGGGCAGCAGAGTCCGCCTCGATTGCAACGGGTTGGGGGGCATCAGCCTTATAACAAACTGAACCTATATATCCTTTAACCCTTCAACTCGTTTAGGCTATGGGTGTCGGGGCCCCGTAATCCCAAGGTATATACTACTTAGTTTATGCATTCCTGTAGGGTACTAATGATCGAAGTTCCAGCTCTGTGCATTGTGATGACATCACATTTGATCCCCTTTGTGCATAAGGTGCATGTATAGAAAGCAACGATGCGTATTTCTACGTGGCCTAATCTACAGCCCACCCTGGGTTAACTAGACAAATCAGACTTGCGAGGGACCCCGGAAGATAGCCCCTCCAGGAGCTCAGCAAGGAAGCCATCATCCTGGTTGTCATCCGGATCGTCAGGACCTGGGCAGTCGGAATTGCATGAGGGAGTACAATTGTGCAGTTCGAAGACTTCGGTCAGTGAGTCAGTGAGCCCCTCACTTGTGTCAAAGCACTCCACATCATGACCTGCGAAAGGGTATAAGTCTAGCATGAATGCGTCGTTTGGCAAAGCTACGAAGACTTGCCATTGCAATGCAACACAGTCAGTATTGCAAAGAGATTGAAACCGCAGAATCTCGCATTTTTTATGCTGCAGCATACAGACACACTCGCTTCACAGAATTGGCCCATGCAGCTAAAACCGCATGTGCTGCACATGCATAGTGCATAAAAGATCAGATCTGGAAATCACAGAGCTCGGAGAGCTGAGAGCATGATCAAAAGCTCCAGTTCTGGATGGCACATATCTAGCATCTCAGCTAACTCTCCGGCGTTTGGCAGGAGCCTTGGCGGCTGCCTTGGCACCCGCTTTGGCGCGTGCTTTGGCCTTTGCCTTGGCTTTTGGCTTCGCTGGGGTGGTAGCCCCACCCTTGATGCTCCTGAGCTTGCGAGGGGTTGGTGATTAAAGTTGTATAGAATGCATAGGCAAGATACTCACAAGGTTGGTCTAGGGTCCATTATATTCTGAAGGCTTGCAAAGAGTTTATAAAGTTTAGTAAGGTGGGGTTGAGGAAAGCAAGCTTGGAGGTCGCCTAGTTTAAATTTCTCTATTGCATATACAGTTTAGGTAGATCCCGATAGTTTGCAGCAAAAGATCCTGGACCGCACAACATAGTTGTTCAGCGCCAGATCGGCTTTGGTGCACTGGATGTAAGTCTCGAGGGATTGCTTCTTGAGCCTAGGACAGACCGAGAGATTAACATACCCTAAGCCAACCTTCCCCGAATCGCCTGGCAAGCTCGTGCTCATTGTCGGTGGTCGCGGCATCGGCCTGGATGTCGGTCAACGTCTTGTAGCAAGCATTCATGTCATTCAAGCAGCTGTCCAAGTTCTTGCACAGCCTAAGATAGGAGGGGCTTCGGCGATTGATCGTACAAGGCCATGTGCATCTAGTCACTAGCACACCAACTGTTTAATTTTGGGAAGCTGCTCGGATGCTTTCGGGGCTGCCTTGCCATTCAGCTTGTCCTGGCTAGACTAGACTGCCATGCAGTCAACCGTCCATATCATGACCCCAGCATATCTCATCTACAGCTAATGAAATAAGAATCTTCCTAATACACCCACAACACTATTCTAAGCAGGGATAGGTCTATCCCCTTAGCTAGCTGTATAAATCCTATGCAAAACCTGTCACGGCCTAACTTGAACCTGTTCCCTATGTAGTCGGGTCCCTATATTTACCTCGAAGCTACATATACCCTTGTCAGACTTCTGTTGCTAGCATAGGGTTTTCGAGAAGGGGGTTTTCGAGAAGGGAGTTGAATTCCTGGTGCTATCTGGGCAAATTAAAGGAATCCAGAAGGTTTCGATGTAAGTCTGGCGGGCTTTGCTGGGATGTACAATGTCCTCTAGCTAGCAGAACTTGTAGAAAGATTTGTGCCTGTTTCCAAAAATAAGAATCCCATAAGCACATCATTGCAAACCTCTAAACTCAGAAACTTATGAAGCTTCTATATCCCCCGCCCCACACTTTGAAACAGCTCCGAACATCGCGAAACTAAAAGAAACCTGCCATAACTGGGTGATGTAGTGATCGAGCTTTCGGAACTGCAAGCACTGAGTTACTCAGTTACTCATTAATAGAGCTGCATAATTGTATATATACATATATCATTATAAAAAAGACATACAAATATATGTATGTATATATTATTACATGAGTACTGTCTATGCAGACACATATGATTAGTGCATCCACATCATTATATGAGCAAGCTCCTTCACCGACTCAGCCAAGTCAATCTTCTTGCCGAGAACACAGATGTAGGCAGACAGAAGCCCAAGCGGGGAGGAGTTCTGCTGCAGGCTAGGAAAGCACATCCTGGGATGGGTCAGTCTATACATTATCCTGTGTAAATGCGCAAACCAATGAGTTCGGCAGACTTGCTTTCCGAATGTCTGTGTACATGCACAAACCAAGCTAGAGTTCGGGTGGTTTGCTTTCTGAGAGTCTTAAACGAAGCCCCAGCCTGAGCTGTGGCAACGGAATCGTTGGCCTTGTCCGCGGTCCTTGCCACCTGGAATTTGCCCAGGTCCTCGCTGCCCGGCTCCAGCAATGCACAGTTCGGGTCCTGGGCTCAGCACAATCCACACTGAAGAAGGCATAGCGAGAGACAAGTGAGTGAGCGCGTGGGCCACCGAGAGATGGAGAGGAGAAGAGAGAGAGAGACAGAGAGAGAGAGACAGAGAGAGAGAGAGAGAGACAGAGAGGAAATGAGGAAGTTTTCCACCTCTATATGACTAGGCACATCCATGCTGAATGAGCTCGTGAACCCGGTCTTTTGCCCTGATTCATTGCTATTCTCCCATGACCACTCCAAGGGAATATCAGCCTCCTCGGCCCCATGAATCTCCGACTTGAAGAGCCTCCCATTCCGTCTCGCCCACTCAAAGGCATTGTCCGCCATGGTCCTGATGCAGCAGAACATCATGGAAGGCAGCTTTGTGGGATGCTATAGATGTGTTGCTCTTCATGAAATTAAAAACCTCTAATGCGGGAAGGGAGCTGGGTATAGAACCTCTTCTGCACAAGCCACTCCTTTGTTACAAGGCCCCCCTTCTCCGCGGATTTCTTCTTCTGCAAATGCCACTTCTCCAGGGCCCCCTCTACCTTCTGAAACGTCCCATGGTCCAGCAGCAGCTTCCGAAGCTGCTCGCCTAAGGTAGCCACGACTTAACATATAATATTGATTATGTTGATGTGAAGGCACTCCAATCATTCGAAGAATCGTCCGTCCGTGGTCTTTCCCATTTCGAGAATATGTGGGCTGCACTTTAGCTCACCCTTCGAGTTGGGCTGAAAGTGGCGGCGAACCCTTAGTTCATGCATGCGCTTCATAGATAGTTTGCACAAGCTGTAACAACTGCAACTGTACGAATTGGACAAGTAGCTTCCAGTAGCCGTCGGGCTTGGGAGTGGCTGCTGCTTTCTTCTTGGGAGATACCCTTCGAAGGCTAGGGAACAGCTGCCTTCGAACATTCGGTTTGCCGTTGCTTGGGGGCGGGTGCTGCTGGTCTCCATTGGCCTCTGGTGGGCTGTCACCAACCTCGATAGACAAAGTCTCCCTGGTTTCCGGGGCCTTGCGAGGGGTTGAAGCAATCTCGGTGGGCTCCGTGGTGACAGTCTTTTCGGGGCTGTACTTCGAGGATTGCTGCAGCATGCGGACGGTGTGGGATCGGTTTAGATCCCCAAGCGGGGCTTTCATGTTCCCAGGCACAAACTGACCACTGGCAGAAGCCATCGTGGGAGCACCTGCCGGAAAGGAACTGGTATGTGTGAGGTGATAACTACATGCAAGTATTATCGGAATCAGTGTGTCACATGCCTGGCACAACAGCAGGAACCGGGTTGGGCTCAGAAGCAGCTAGCTGCTTCTGAAGGTGCTCCAGGTTGGCTTGTGCTTCCTTAAGTGGGAAGAAGGAAAACCATGTTGATGTTAGAGGAGCGAGATGTAACAATCTGAGAAAGCCAATGCAATTGAAGAGCTTTGATGTGCTCATCCAACTCAGTGTCCGGGATCTCGGACATGTTGGTCCAGGATCGGGCCATCAGTACGACACCGTCGCTCAGGGTGTCTAAAGAGGCTAAAGAGGCCATGCTATGAAATCAATCTGTAATCAAAACATCAAGCAGGCAGGTAGCTGCAGCACATGTTAATTGTCTACACACGACAGCATTCAGCAAACACCCGGAGAGTGATCGGGGCCCAGAGAAGCAATGGTCTTTCGCTATCCTCGGAAGATACACTATATGTAGTATTTCACCCAAACCCTTCACCCTCAAGCTGCCTAGTGTACATCAAGCAAAAGCAAGCTGAGAAAGAGTACGAGAAGCAAAAAGCGCGCGTGCAACCCAAAAAAGGTGCGTGATTTAACGGTGCACATACGTTTTTTTGAATTGCGCGCGAGTTGCGGGGAATTGCGCGCGAGTTGCGGGAAATTGCGCGTGAGTTGCGGTCGAAATTGTCTGGCCGACAGTGCTCAAAACAAAAAGCGCGCGTGCAACCTAAAAAACGTGCGTGACCTTTAACCTCTCTACACCTACCCGACCTACCCTGTAGGAGCTCCCTGTTTCCTGCAGGCTTCGAAGACGGAGCTGCCTCTACCGACCGGCTGGAGCCCTGTGCTCTCACGACCCAGTCCTGCCCATACATAGGGAATTGTACTCCTCCCTGAGGTCCCCGTAGCAGTTCACCTTTGCAGGTCGTTGCAAGCCCTGGGTATTTTCGGTTTCTAGTCAGAAGACGATTCAAAGAAACATATCGCGAGCCCAAGACACCTTGGCATCCAGCTCTGTTTCAAAAGAACTGATTGCATCTTCCCAACAAGAAGGTATCACGAGGTACTTGTTCTTTCTCAAGTAGTAATAAACTGAGGGCAGTTCTGCATCTTCCCACATATCCTTCATTGGCAGGGTGGCAAATAACTCCACATCGGAGAAGTCGGGGTTGGTGGCATTCTTGTTGCGTAAGCAGCCCAATGCTTCAGGTACACAGTCCGTAGCAAAGGCTTCGAATAGTTGTTTCACAAATTCCATCGGGTAGACCCTTAGCAGATCGGTCAAGTTTCGGGCTATTGGGGTTTGTAGGATTGAGGCAGGGGTTAGAGGGCCAGCTAGTGTTTACAAAGGTTTACTAGTTGGCTTTGTTAAGGTGCGGCTCTAGGCCTTCTATATTGTAGTAGGGAAGACTGAGGGTGTACCAGGGTTTTGTGTCACAAAGCTTGTCGACTTATTAAGGATCCAGGGCACTATTGCTTCTGGACCTATTGAAGCCCCTACTGTCCTGGTTATTACAGAATAAATGGCTAGCGGGGAAGTTATCATATCAATCTAGTTACGAATCTAGTTGGGTTAGGAAATTGTTCGTGTGGATTTCACAGAATCGTGAGGGAACAGGGCTTGTCTATTTTGGAACAGTTACCGATCTTGTGGGAGCCTAGGATGCTACGAAGATAGTAGATTTGCTTACAGACTGTGGGTTTTTGTAGTGCACCCAAATCTTGCATAGGTAGGTTCACAACCAATTGGGAATACAAGCACTTCTGGTGTTCATACGGTAGCTAGAAACTGGAGCCTTTGTGGCCTGCGTCTGAACCATAACATGCATGGCCGAAGCTGCTCTGGAAGACATGCAGCAGCAACTGGAAACGATATGGCAGGACTTGAAGTCGACTCGCAACGAGGCGATACGACAGTTGCTTCAGACTGAAGATTACCAGGCGTACAATGCGGCACGGCCCCGCTAATTGACCCTGGCCTTCAGAGCCCCTGACTCCGAACGCGAATCAAGTCATCAGCAAACAGCTGTGGGCAACCGTGGATCGAAGCCCTGGTGGTCGTGATCATGCATATGACCACTTCAGACAGTTGCAATCCCCGGGCACACCCCAGAACCCAGCCACCTAAAGGGTTTGTGTTTTCAGGACGACCCCGTAGCCTATATTTTGCAGGCAGTTCTCATTGCTATTGAGGGGTTGTAGGGTTGTAGTATAGTAGCAGCAGCAACAGCCAGAGTAGTAGAAGCAGTCGTGCTAGTGGCAGCGTAGTAGATCTTCTCAGACCAGTATTATACATAAAACCACAATGGTTCCCCTCCTGCAATAGGGCAGGTCTTTAATAAGGTTACTAGGGTTATAGGCGTTCAGGGCTTATATTTATAAGGTCTATATAGGTTTATATAGGGTTATAGGCGTTCAGGGCTTATAGGGTCTATATTGGGGTATAGGCGTTGAGGGCTTATCATAGTTCATGTATAGCCGAGCAACCCGGCATCCTTCAGGCTCGTCGTACCAGCGAAGCGCTCGGTGCCGTCGGATTCCTTCCACCGTCCTTTGGCAGCAAGGACAGACTATTGCGGCACTACATGCAACCCCGAAACTTTTGGCTAGGACCTCTGCGAATTATATATTGCTTGCAGCTGAAGATCGAGTAGTGCGGATTTTCGTCTTCACTTGTTTCAGGTTTTTCTTGAGCACACCACGGTCCAGGGTCTGCACCCGGGGTGAATTGGAGTAGATCTTGGTGCGCTTGGGACTAGGGCTGCCCCAATGCATCAGCCAGAAGGCCTGGCTGTATACCTTCGACCAATATATGATTCGAACTAGCATGATAACTATCTAGGAGAAAGAATGCTACTCGATGCATGGCCAAGCTGCATAGAGTACAGAATTGACGAGCCATTCAAAGCGGCCGTGTTTGTGCAGGAGCGAACAGGAAGGGTGTTCCAATATCCATGTAGTGTGCATAGCCGTCATCACCAGTATTGCCAGAACAACACTTAGATGAATTCTGATCAAGTGACAAACTCTTCTGTGTTCATGAAGTAAGCACGATACACTCACATACTTGCAGCTAGAGAGTCCGGCTGATCATCATGTTCGCTTTCGACACGCTCTGAAAGGCATCCTGACCCCGGAAGTTGATGAAGGATCTAAGACTTGTGCCCCTGTTCGGAACACCCCAGGAGGAACAATCCGGGCCCATCAAATTCACAGACGTCTTCTTCTCACGTGTGATACACCATAGCACCAGCCTCGGACTGCATGGAACCCACTAGATCGAGCATCCTTGCACATTGCAATTATCCTGATCCCAGGCTTGACCAAGCTGCACAAAACCGGCATCGGAAAGGAAGTCCATGGAGGCACTCCGATTAATCTCAATGGTCGCGACTCTCTTTCCCTTGGACTTCCTGGGTAGTATAGGAATTAAGGGACACCCCTGAAACATATAGGCCTTAATCTGAAACCCCTAGTGTATAGTTTATAGTGACCGCCTGCATAAACCATCTTAGCATACCACACCAAGAAGACTGAAACCACTGCCCAGGCTCCAATATTTGCTGGCATTACCGACCCCGGAAAATAGGTCCAAAAGATCAAAAGATTTGGCCTGCGGTAGATTCGTCGACCAGATCACCAGCAGCATCACAGCTATGAGTACCTAGGCGAACAGCAGAAAGGGAGGCCAGGCTTAATTGAATTTATCTCACTGTTCATATATGTATATAGTTAGACCCTAGCTATATAGAGTAGCCTCCATACATCCATCCAAGAAACCTTTGGAGCTCCAACATGAATGAGCCGAACGAGCAAAGACGAGTCTGGCATCCCACGAGAATCCATTGCGCCAGTTAGACTTTGGGCTTACCACAATTTGTTAGAAATGGGATTAGGGCAAGCTGCAGGTGCCTTTTGCAGACTTATTGGGATCCCAACGTGAGCTTGCATGTGGGCTGCTCTGAAGCCACAAACACACTGCCGACAGCACATCTGAAACACGGACCAAAGCAACGAAGCACGGGAAAGGGTCGGGGCAGCCTTGTGCAGCTGCACGGCGCGCCACCCCAGCCATGGTTCACCTGTAGCAGTTGGGAGGGCAGTCGGTTGTATAGAATTTTTCAGCTACATCGGTACTTGCCATAGTGGGTGATAGTGTGAAACGGGTTCGACAAGCTGGTATAGTTAATTGTATGCTATTAAAGTATATAAGTACATAGCCACATCTCACTGGCAGTCCCTGGCCTCCACATCGAAGTACTCGTCGACGGCAGCCGGGGCAGCCTGGGAGCCAAGTGGAGGCCGGGAATCGGAGCTCTGGGAATACACATAGGATGGGCCTTCAGAGGCATTGCTCAGGGTGAAGACGAATGGAAGCCCAGGGTCCAGAGATCCTGCCCAGATTGCATGGGTTTACATTGCATTGGTTTTCTGGTATTTCATTAAGGTACACATAATCCCAATCAGATTGCCGTCCTTGTCGTGACGGGTCGAAAGAAGCTTCCCCACCACATCCATGAAAGACCTGGCAAGGACAGTGTAGTGGGATCATGAGAAAAGTGCTTATACGGATGCCCGGTGAATGCACAGCACTGTATGTAGCGGAGCTTTGGGAAGTTTTGCACCGATCGCACTCAGCCGTCGTGAAGCTTTCAGTCACTCAGGCTAACATTGGGTTGGCCGAAAGCATTACCCCGCGCTAGCAGCACTCCCAAGTACGTAGCTCAGACCTACCGCACTGAATAAAGCCAGTGAAAACAGATGATCATCCGCCACCAGCTTCCGCTTGTACACAACGGATTCAATCTTGCTCAGCATAAGCCTCAGGTTGCAACAAAGCTCCCAAGATGCAGAGATATAATGCCTATATGCATGAGAGACCTAACACCGACATGCACACACACACATGCACCCATACAGATCATTCTTTCTCACTCTCTATCTCCCTCTCTCTCTCTCTCTCTCTCTCTCTCTCTCTCTTTGTTTCTCTCTCCTCTCTCTCTTGTTGATTTCCTTTCTTCTAATATATTAAACCAAGTGACCTTCTTGGCCTCAGTGACTGCCTCCTCAAGCGAAAGCCCATTTTTCAAAGCAGTTGCCTTTGCTTTGTGGTAAGCACAACTCTTTCGGCTCTTCAAGCCGGCGTCCTGCGAAGCCCCACCCTTTTTGTTCCCACCCTTGCGACCTGCACGATCCTTGGGGGCAGGGGCCGCCTTTGCTTTGCTGCTGGCTTTTGCTTTTGCTTTTGCTTTTGCTTTTGCTTTGGCTTTTGCTGTAGCTTTGGCTTTGGCTTTGACAAGGGGCTCCGGGGAATAACACTTCGTCTCCTGGCTGCAGCCCTCTTCGACATCTGCTGCTTTGCGCTTCTTGTTTGCTTTGTTCTTCGGGGTCCGGGCTTTCTTGGGGCTTGGCTCGGAAGCTGCTTTGGCCTTGGCCTTTGGCTGGACTTCGTTCTTTCTTGGGCGACCGGGTTTTCTCTTTGGCTGAGCCTCGGTTTCATCCTTCTTAGCTGGTCTCGTGGCTTTCGGGCTGGTCTCAAACGGCTCATCCTTTTTCGCATCGGCTGCCTTCCTGCCTGCCTTCTTGCTCAACTTGGTCTGGTCACCTGGGGCCACAACACCAGCTGCGCTCAAGAGGGCAGGTCGCGGCATCTCATCATCGGGTTCCTTCGCATCTGCTGGGCTTGAGGCCAAGAGGGCAGGTCCAGGCATCTCAACACCGGCATGCTTTGCATCTGCTGGGCTTGAAGCCAAGAGGGCAGGTCCAGGCATCTCATCATCGGCAGGCTTTGGATCTGCTGGGCTTGAGGCCTTACTGGGATCATCATTGGCAGTCTTGCTGCCACCTCCGGACACTGCAGCATGGGAGCCTTCCTTAGACTCCAGGAGGGCTTCATCTGGACCCTCAGCCTCGGAGCCTTTTGCAGACTCCACGGCAGCAGCTAACCCTGCACAATGATCCTCAGGCTCAGGGACCTCCGGAGCATCCTGCAATTCCTCTTTGACCCCATGCTCCATCTTGATAGATACCTCCAAAGGCTCTTTCTTGATTGGCACCGGAACAAAAGGCTTGCTTGGCGGTTTTTCCACGGACTTGCTTGGCTCCTCTGGTTCTTTCTTGATTGGCACCGGATGTACCAAAGGCTTGCTTGGTGGTTTTTCCAAAGACTTGCTGGGCTTCTCTGGGGCCGGCTCTTGCTTGATCACTACAGCATCACATCTTGCTGCTTTCGGGCTTGGCTCCCATACAACGGTCTCAGTCCGGAGTCGCTTCGGACCCAATGGCGCGGCCTTGCCCTCGAACACATGAGCAGCAACAGCCGCCTTCTCCTTCTGCGCAACATCTATCCCCATGGCAGCCACAGCAGCCTCCATACTGGACTCATCCAGTACTTGAGTCTCCTGCGTAGTCACATTACCTGATAGCACAAGACAGGAAGCCAAACTCGTGATGGGAAATCAGTACAACTCTCGACAACAAGCTGCATACAGGCTACCACTCGGTGAAGCCTTGAGCTTATCATTCTCCCGCTGCTGCTTTGCCAAAACCAACCGAGTCAACAGCTGCTGCTGCTCGGTCAAGGCTTGCAAAATTTCACGCTTGCTGGGGGCAGGCAACTTCACGACTGATTCAGGCGACTTCCCATCGCCTGGCACATGCTTCGGTGTGATCACTGTCGCCGTCGACGGCACCGATGGGATGCTTCCTGGGATCAAAGATGCATGGGCCAATCCAGTACACTCTTTACAAGCAAGTCTCATGCAAGTGAACCCCATCAATGAATGCAAAGCTTCTTGGAGAGGGATCCTCCAAAGGATTTTGACACTTGTCTTCGACGGCTAAAGGAGACAGTTCTGGAAGCTCAGGGGGCTCGCAAACATCATCGTCAGTTCCTGCTTCCGACTCAACCGCCTCGTCATAGCCAACCTGTCGCATCCCCGGCACTACGATACCCATACGGCTCAAACAAACCCCACCTCTTCAGATCCATTCTCCGGGTCCAGGGCTTCGTTGGATCGTGGCTGCCGTCCTGGGGTGGGATGGTTGTGCTGCTGGGAAATGGTGAAACCTTCTGTAGTATGTTAAATTGCAGACAAAGTACCAGGCGGAATGGGTATGCCCAAATGGGTGTAGATCTTCCGAATGTTCTCTTCGTTCGGGCGGTGGGGAAGCTTGCATATCCGGTTGAACATAGATACCAAGTTTCGAACTCGCCAGGCTTGTGTACGACAAAAGTCGCCTCGGTGATCACAAACTTTAGGCAGAAGTTTATGCACAAACCTCCTTATAACTATTGCAGCCTAGTAACTGCTGACTGGCTTCTTGCCCTTCTGCCGGCAACGCTGAAAGAACAGATCTACATCCTCCTGTAGTTGATCTACACCAGGACGTGCTCCCATGTGCTCCATTGTTATCGCGACAATATTCCAATTGAAGTCCAAGTCGGCCCTGGTGAGCACGCCAGGTGCAACAATCAAACGTCCACCTGCGCCTCGTTCCGAAACGCCCTCGAGCTTGAACCAATCAACACTCAAGCCGGTTTTTGGCAGGTCCACGTCGCTGCTCGACATCGCTGAGCAAAATCGAATCTTGTTGTTTATGATCTCTTGCAAAGCGAAACTGTCTTACTGCAGTCATGCTTCGCATGTATGCATGCATGTAGTCGTACCGATATGCACAACATCCCTCTCTACACATTGTGCGGAAGCCCAGGCTGCACCATGATGCCACACTCACATCGAAGCCATGCAAACAAGAGAGCGCACAAGAGAGAGAGTGAGAGAGTGATAAAATCAGCATACCCAAAACCAGCATAAACCAGCCGGGGCCGCCTCCGCAACGATGACCCGACAGCCCCTGCCAGGAAACCATATGCACTTCTACCGGGACACGAACTTCTTCTTCATCTTGCCTATCTATTCTGTATTGCTACATAATTATGTATCTATATCATGAATGTGTATGTATATATATAGTGTGCATATTATATATATATATATATATATATACTAACCCAGACCGTTTGCGTAGGCATGTGTATATCACAGGTATGTGCTGGATAATATTTAATTTATATATATATATATATATATGTATGTATGTATATGTATGTATATGTGTATACATATAGCATACATGTAAATTATACTATATATACATATATTACATATACATATATATATATATATATATATATATATGTGTAAAGCACTTGAAGACTGGCCCGGCCTCAGCAAAGGGCCATCCTTGTCCAGCTCGAGCATGAACTTTGGCGATCAGGTATGTCGAGAAGGATTTACGCGTGACATATTTATTTCCGTGTGTGATTATTGAAAACCAGGATTTCTATACGTGATCCCCCAAACCTTGGAAAAAAGCAATACACACTTAAATAAACATGCGTTTGGTGTTCTAGGTTGGTCTCGAACCGTCTGACCACGTCTTTGACTCATCCTCTATAATGCTTTGCATGGCGAAGGACTGGCCCGAGCTTGCTATATCGGCTGGCCAGCCGCACCATGCAAGCAAGAATCGACATGCACGCCGCCTTGAAAAGGCCGAAAAATCTCGTGTGAGAAACTCCAACATCCATTAGTGGAGTCTCTCGAAAGCTTTACAGTCTGCTGAATGCAGGATGGTGTGTGAAACCAACGGCCTTCTTGCCGCCTGAGCCACTGTCAGTATCAGAGGCTCCAAAGTAGTTCCTTGGTGGGGTATACAGGACTCTGTATATGAACACCAAGAAAGGAACTACTACGGAGCCTTAGGAGAAGTTATGCGGGCATTCCCTGTGGGTTTAGGGCTTAGGGGCTATAGGGCTTGAGGTCTTGGGGCTTAGGGGGTGCTTAGGGTTCAGGTTTTAGAAGCGTGTCTAGTGACCCCGCCTATGAAGGCCCAGCGTTTCGAATGCTGCACAGCAGCGGAAATATTGAGAGTAGCTCTGGCATCCAATTTGCTTCATGACGTAGGCCGCCACTGCTGAGTCAGGGCATGTCAACAGGCTGCTGCTGCCTAGCGCTTCTGCAAGGCCTCACCCCTTTTCCCTGAACCTTGGCTCCATGTTCGCTTCCGTCTATGTAGAGGCAGCTCGAGCTTCTGGCTCTGGGAGAGTGTCTCTGAATCCCCAGCCTGAAGCTTAAACCCAAACCCCTACAGTCCTGATACTGTTCGGCCGTTGGCTAGAAATATGTCTCATCGGAGTGGTGTGGCAGAATTTGGGTATCCACCGAAGCAGCTGTGGGGGAGGGTGGTAAGCCTAGGATAGGAGTCATAGACGCAGTAGTCTTATTGGCTGTAAACTCAACTTTTCAACTTCTGGGGCTTATAAGCTTGTCGATTCTGAAAGTTTCAACTTTCATTTCCGTGGGTTTGGGGCAACTCAATGGTAGTGATAGAAGTCGGACAGCCGTGAGAGTCAGCCACACATTCAAGGTTTGCTTATCGTGAATCGTGCTAGGATTCCCTATACTTTACCCTAAAGGCATGAGGATAATTATGTTCCAACTTTTTGGCTTCTACTGTAGATTTTCGGTTACAGAGGATCTTCGTAGCACTCGGAACTTGTAGCCACCTGCCTGTCATGCCCGTGACCTGAAAACCTGTGGCCACCTCCTGTGAGGCGGTAGGAATTGTGATTGTATCTTGCGCATTCCCAGACGGTCCATCTGCTATTATGGTTTGGGGGACTTAGTGCCAGAATGGTAGTAGATATGGGCCCTCTGGGATTCAAAATTTTGGACTGCTGTGCACGAGCTTCCTTGCCAAATAGGGCAGAAGTTTGGATCTTGTTAGCAATGCGATCACCAGTAATTCCGTGGCAGGTTCGGCTAATCAGGCGGAGTCTGTCGCCGATCCTGCGGCAGAACCTCACAGGTACTTCATTCAGTCCCAAAGTTGCTTACTTCCAAAACCCTAAACTTCAGTGGTTGCTGTTTTGCTTCATAGCACATGTCAGGTGCTGCATCGGCAACTCATTTCAAAAGGAGAGGCTGGTCCGTGGCTTGTCACGAGATCGTCTATCCTAGAGGAGATACCCTGAACTCTGGAGCGCGGTGCCCTTGCACAGCATTACAGCATCTACTCTTTAGGGATATCAGGGTGTAGGGCGCAGGGGTTTGCCCTAGAGATAAACCCGAGCTTCAGTGCAATCCCTCGCCCGAAACCCCAAACCAATACCCTACGAGTTTGCTACCCCATGCGCACAACAGGAAGCCGCTAAAGGGAGGTACTTTCTGGGCTGGGTTCTGGAGTGTCATACTTGAATACTTTGTTTGGTACCTGTTCCTTTAAGGTACCAATATGAAATAAAAGTCTATACTTTTTTCTCCCTGGTTACTTCAAAGTCAATAGATGAGCCCAAAACCTGCCCCAACCCAAGCGCGATTTTCAACTCTCGAGGCGAGGGAACCTTGGAACGAGGACCGAGGAAACAAAACCCTTTATCCATCTGGGAGTTTCCGACAATACGGGGTACCTTATTTTGGGGTCCTTATAATAAGGATCCTACTATTTAGGGTGCTACATCAGGGTCGCCTATTTCGGGAAACTCTCAACTAACCTACTGGACGACCGAACAAAGACACACGCGAGGCTGCTTCAGTTGGAATTTAACATGGAGCTAGCACGGTGACAGGGACGTAGTTAAAGGATCAGGAGCCTAGCAAAGTAGGTTGCAGCACACTCGAGCAAGTTGGAGCATGGGTATAGAATGATAATTCAGGGGGTGTTTGTGCTGTACCTTAAAGGCATGGGTGCACTGATGTTCGACTTTCTCGTTCTACAGCGAGGGTTAGACTTCGTCAACTGGCGGTGATAATGAATCTGCAGGGGTCCCAGAGACTCCAATATCCCTTAATTAAGGAATATTCCTTAAATCATATTAGGGATCCTACTATAATTTAAGGAATATTCCTTGATTAAGGGATATTGGAGTCTCTGGGGTTTGGTGGGGGGCCAGTAATTTGCCGGAGCCTCAAAGTATCCGCTCCAGTGTACACGCACATTTTCTCGCCTGTTCTTGGTGTCCCTCTGCATCCTCTTAGCTCCGGGTTTAAGTTGTCTTATGTATTTGTGAAAGAAAACACAGGCTTATTAGCACTTTGCACTTACACCGAATTTACTTGTAGTTGAAATGGGCAAAGGCTAAAACCTCACAGGTTCAGGGGTTTCCCTGTCCGAGCCTTTTTCAAAAAAGGACACATGCATGCTTTAACCTCAATGCGCTTTGCCGCAGAGGCAAGTGTTGGCAGGTAATGTAGAGGCCTGATTTTAGTATTATATGTCCCATCAAAGTCCTTATCATATGGTGTGCTATAATTTACCCCGAAGCTCTGTTGCATAGGTTGGGCCCCTATACTACTTTGAGCTATAATTCACCTGCGCTTGACCGCACGATTTGAACCGTGTACTGCATGCTGCCATATTCCTCCAAGGATTGAGAGGACCAGGAAGTGCGTCTGCCGCGACGGCTACTAAAGCCCTAAACCCGAAACCGCAGCTGGAGTGTGAAGGGGACTAAAGACCCTCATCGGCAACCCTGAACAGCCAACCCCATATCCAAATAGATTTTAGGGCCGCAGGGTTTAACTGAAACCTAGACTGAAAAACCTCAAACCCGAAATTTGTGTAAACCAAAGCCCTTTCGGGTCTAGGGGAGCCCTACGCAAAGCCAGAACGGATAGACTTCACGGTGCCGGAGCATCTTGGAGCAACTTGCACCCCAATGTCGCTGACAGAGTCATTTTTCGGCCACAGTGCGGAGTGCACGCTGCAGGCAGCTACAAAAGGACAGTTTCGGGATGTTTCGGGTTTAGGTTTTGTTTATCTTACTTAGCCGCCAAAGCTCTACCGTATGAAATTATTAAGGAGCTATGTCAGGAAATCATAATCAGGAAGCCTGAAACCTATAGGCAGTCTAGGCTCTTGTTATGGTTTGAGGCTTTAGGATTATAGGTGGCAGGGCCGGTTTCTGGTCATGATTTGAAACAGATGGGTGGTTGTCAGAATTGGGGTCCCTTTTTGGGTACCCTAAATAATAGGTGCCGTATTAGACTAATGAGCCAAAAATAAAAAGGGACCCTAATTTTGACAACCACCCAGATGAATCTTGTGACAGTGTGTACTGCTGTTATCATCATCGCCACGATTGCTGCTGCTTTGACGGAGCTAATGGTTGATAGCTGCATTGCAAGGCTCAGGGTTTGGGGCGGTTCGGGATTTACCCTAAGCCTCCATAGCAGTTCCTTTTTGGGGTTCATATATAGACTCCTGTAATGTAACCCCATAAAGGAACTACTATGGAGACTCTAGGTAGTTTAGGGCTTAGGGAAGCTGCGTTGTCTGGCTTAGGATTCAATTTCTAGACCTTGAGGCGCTATGTGGGAGTTTCCAATAATTATTAGGGGTACCTTATTTTGGGGTCCTTATAGTAAGGATCCTATTATTTTGGGTGCCATATTAGGGTCCCCCTATTTTTGAAAACTCCCATGTACTGCTGATGTGCAAGTCCTGTGTTCCCTGACACCGCGACCTTTTTCGATGGGGGTCATCGTAATCATCAAAATCATGGGGCAGGGAGTGGGTCTAACCCAGATGTAAAGCCCCGAACCCCAAACCGAAGCCCCTAAACCCCTTAAATTCCCAAACCCTAAACCCCAAATTCCCAAACCCTAAACCCCAAATTCCCAAACCCTAAACCCCAAATTCCCAAACCCTAAACCCCAAATTCTCAAACCCTCAACCCCAAACTCTCAAACCTTAAACCCGAAATTCTTAAACCCCCAAAACCCCTGATCCCAAATCCTATTGGGGCTCTGAAATCGGGGCTGCAGACGAACCCGGGATCTTCGACATGAACCCACGACTCCCTGGGGTCCAGGGTCTACCTGGACCCTACACGTACCGGTTTAGGGTTCCCTAATATGACTTCTTTACATAAGTCCTTAAAAAGGTAGGTTACGTGCGGGCAAGGTAGAGTTTAGGGCATGGGATTTTCGGGTTGAGGGTAGAGGGTTTTGGAGGGTTTAGAATTTAGGGCATAGGATTTTCGGGTGGAGGGTAGAGGGTTTTGGAGGGTTTAGAATTTAGGGCATAGGATTTTCGGGTGGAGGGTAGAGGGTTTAGGAGGGTTTAGAGTTTAGGGCATAGGATTTTCGGGTTGGGGGTAGAGGTTCAGGAGGGTTTAGAGTGTAGGGCATAGGATTTTCGGGTGGAGGGCAGAGCTCGGTCGCAGCCACGATATTCAGGACAACAGCAGATCATGTGCCTCATTACAGCGAAGATGTTACCCGAACTTCAACATGGATCCTGATGATGAAAGCTGCTAATTATTCTTCTTCATCGTCGCTATCACCACCGCCAGCGATGACAGCATCATGATCATCATCATTATCATCACGCAACCTCAAAATGCTGAAACCCCCCTAACCCCATGGCACTGAACCCGAAACACCGAAGCCCGTGAACAAACAACTTACAAACCCTCCCAAATGCTGACACCCTTATCACCTTCTACCCAGAGAGCCCACGATTCCTTAAGCAACGGAACAAGCAAAATCTACTTTCAATCGTAATATTGAGCCCTTGCACTTGAAGGTAGATTCCTTGATTCAGGGGTATCAGGGCCCTGAGGGGTTTAGGTTTTCAAGAATCAGGGGTTAGGGTTGAGGGCTGAAGCCCTTCATTGGGCTATCTGGGACAACCGAAAGAAAGCTCCGAACCATGGCACTTCGTGTTGCTGATGCCGGGCTGCTTGTCTTGAATGTACGCTGTCTAGTGCTCGAAAGCCTAAACCCCTAAACCCCGAAACCCTAAACCCCTAAACTGCCGAGAGCACCGCTGGCCATTTACATCGGCGCTCGAGGCTTCAACCGAGGCTCCAGCCCGGCGGAGATGCCTCGTAGGCAGGTCCTCGGGCGACTTGCCCAGTTTCCCACAGAGTGGGGGCGGCCGGGAGATGTGCCGGTGTGAAGGGGCTTTCCACCAAAGATGTGGCTTCTCAGGGCTCCAGGCCTCCAAGGCACTCCACGGCTGGTTGTAAGGGGCAGTGACCCAGCCTGCCATAACTGGAAACTTCGAGCGACCCTTCCAGGATGCGAGGGGCGGGTTGTTTGTTCTTAACCCTTGCTTCTCGTCGACCGGCACAGGCCGCCAGGACCTACAACCGGACACCAATTCACCTCAGCTGTGCTTTGAATTGAAATGTGGCCATTTTAGGCAGAGCTGCGAAGGAAAGCAGAGAGCAAGAAAATCCTCTTTGAGGGGGCTTGGGGCGTGAACCCTAAACTCTAAACCAAGATTGAGAATAGTTGGGGTGGTTGGGGCGGGACTACATGCTGACACAAGCACGAGATAAGTGGCCGCACCCTCATTCGTAAAGAAGCGCACCCACTGCGTGCATACTTTTAACCACCCCAAACTCTAAACCCATTCAGGGTCTTGGGCATGTAGGCAGATCTGGGACCTTGGGGGTTTCGAAGATTGAGGGTTTCGGAGGTTTCGAAGGCTTAAGGTTTTTTGGGTTTAAGATTGAGCATGTAGCGTTGAAGGTTAGAAGGTCCGCTGTAAAGTGTTTTGTGGTGTTCTAGCTTGGTCTAGATGGGGCTTGTTCTAAACTAACGGCCAATCATTATGGCGTTTTCGCTCACTCTATAAGGCTTTACAGGGCTGTCAGCAGGGCAATATCTATGTTTAAGGAGGATTGTGGGGCCTTAACATACTTTTTGTGCAAGTACCAAACGTGACCCACGTAGGTCCTTTGGGGGCAAAGAAGGTGTCCGACTCTAAGGTTCGAAATGTACAGGAAAGATGTGTGTAGCCATGGAGCCGGCGCCGAAACACCAAGCCCTAAACTAAACTCCTCCGGTCCTAGATTCATTAGATTCATCCTGAAGTTCTTAAACTCCCTGAACCCTAAACCCCCTAGAATACCCTCCAACAGTTACCCGTTTTTCGAGGCTGCGCGGCTCAGGATTTACAAAGTGGCCGATGACCGTAAATATTCATTGATAAACCCTAAACTTTACGCTTTTTGGGATTTGGGGTTGTAAGCCCAAAAGCCTTGACCCCAAAACCCGAAAGCCCTAAACCCCAAAGGATTAAACTTTAGGCTCTACACCCCAACACTCCAAACCCATCAAGGTCTCAAGGTTGCAAGTAGTCTAGGGTTTGTGTAGGCGAAGATGGTGGCATACTATTGTGAACCGTTCGACCTCGATGTTGCTTAGGGTTTGGCTTCCCCAACCCTAAACCTTAAACCCTAAAACTCAAGGCCTAGGCCGCCCACCTCCGCGGGTGGGCGGCCCTTAAGCCCCTCGACCGCGATGGCGTTGAGCGACCCAATACGCTCGCCCGCCTCTCCACAGCCATGGGGGCTGTTGCACCCACGTCGTCCCCCGTAGACGTTCTCCTCGACACCAGCCCTGAATCAAGTCAAAACCCGAAACCCCAAGGTCCCCGGCCTCAGCGAGCAAAATGCCAGGGCCTGCCCTGCCCTGCCCGGCGTGGGGTGGGAACGAAAGAAGGCAAAAGCCTGCTGTAGACAGCTTCTGCAGCTCATCGCCACAATACGACGCACTCGACACAACCTTGTCGCAAGATACTATCGCCTGCGCATTATTCCACGGCAAACCCTAAACCCCAAAATCCTAAAAGCCTTAAACCCTAAACCCTGAACCCTAAACCCTAAAACCCTACACCCTCAACCCTGAACCTAAACCCTAAACTCCTTAAACTCTGAACCCTAAACCCGAAAATTTCCCACTTTTCCTGAGGAAGTCGGACTGGCTCGGGGAGCTTAAGCTGGTGGGTCACGAGCCGGACGCCCAGACTCTTTGGGGGTGTAGGTTTGCGCTTTGGGGCTTTTGGGGTTTAGGGGTTTAGGGTTCTTAAACCTTAGACAATAATGTAGGAACCTGATTAAGAATCTTTTGGCCTTTATTCTGGTTTGGGGTCCTCGCGAGATCGGGAGACTTGCTCAGAATCTCCTGGGCTTCTGGTTCTACAAAGACAGTATGAGTGTGAACCATAATGTCTAGGGGTTTAAGGGTTTAGGGTATACAGTCCTTCTGGATCCTGAGAAGCTGTTTGATTTCTATGTGCGTAACATGCCCTCTGGTGCCACTTCCCGCCCTAAAGCCTTAATCGCCAACTCTACTTGGAGGTTCATGGGTAGTTCTAAGTGGAGATATAAGTCCCCTAATATGGGTTATAAGTATAGTTTCCCCACTGTCAAGCTGTTGCCGTCGAAGTCAGCCGGTTTCGAAATCTTCTCTTGGGCGGAGTCGGGGATCCCCCAATAGAAACCGAGTATAACTGGGGTTTAGGGACTATAGGGTTTAAGGTTTCCGGGGTTTAGGGGAGAACCTCTCAGCTATCTTGGAGGAACCTTTGGGCTTCCAGCCGTTTAGCTTCAGAGCTGTATGCAAGCCACAGTTCGCTGATCTTAGGGGTACTTAGAAATGATTTTTAATATTTGGTTATTATAATCCCTAAGAAACAGCTAAGATTATATTTTTTGCTAGGGTTCGAAGTTCGGTTCGCTGATGTCTGCAAGGTATTCCCAAGAGACTTCTTGAGTCTTTCTCTAGCTAGCTGTTAGCTCTTCGGCTCCATCTTTTGGATCATGCCGATCTAAACCTGATTCGGGTACTTCGCTTGTCGGGAAGCTGCTCCTGAAGCCGTCCGCGGCTGCTGGCATCGAGTTTGTTAGTAGGCCGGCGAATTAATTGTCTAGACCATGGTAGCCCTAGTATGGGCCCGAATGAAAAATATAGTCTAGTTCTTTTTGGAAGGGGGTACACTACATACTGCTATTACTGTGATTAACGTTACTGTTCATACTAGTATGACTATATCTGAATTACTATTACTGTTACTTTCGTAAAAGTGGAATAGAGGCATCATCAGAACCGCAAAATCCAACAACACCTTCATGTTCACCCACTTCCTGATCCTGACTCTCAGTCCCAAATGGGAGTTTCCGTAGAAAGGGGACCCTAATATAGTAATTTCCCTAAATAGTAGAGTCCTTACTGTAAGGTACCCCTGATTTTCGGAAACTCTCAGTAAGGTACGAGTGTCTCGTGCCCTGGTATGTCTGGCGAGTGGCAATCGACACGGGCGATGCCACGCGAAGCGCTGAGGTTGGCATTGGCATGAATCAGGCCGTACCAGGGGTGCATTAAATTAGGGCTTAAGGCCTTGGTAGGCCCTAAGCCAAAAACGCGACTTCGGGTGTGGCTTTACTCTTTCATCATGAATACCAAGCCCTGGTTCTTGGGCTGGCCGGTTCAGGAACTTCGGAATCGGGGTGCGGGATTTTGAGATTTTGGGCGTTCGGGTTGAGTGTTCAGGTGTTCAGGACGTACCGTCAGGCGCACAAACCTTCATGAAATCGTATGCAGAGGATACCCAAACCCTAAGCCATGAACTTGCGCCCTAAACTCGAACAAAGGGTGGCTGGAATGGGGGCAACTCAGAAAGTTCAGTTTGCCAAAGGGTCGTAAGTACGTACATAGTAGAAAGCAGGATTTCCACACTAGGACTTAAGATTACGGTTTGGGTAATTACGATAGGTATCCCGCCATGTGGATACTCAGGACCTTCTGAAATAGATCATACTTTTGGAAGCTTAAGTCAAAGAAGCTAGAGCGCGGCGTTGTGGGGAGGGTCTGGGTCGGACGACGCATCCTTAACCAAATCGGATTATGCCCAGATTGCTGAGGGCTTAGGGTTTAGGGCCTAGGTCTTTTGGGGTTGGGGTTTAGGGCTTAGGGTTAAGGATTTAGGGTTAAGGGCTTAGGGTCTAGGGTTTAGGGTTTGGGGTTTAGGGTAGTTAGGGTTAGAGCAAGGGTGTGGTGTGGGGGGCCTTCAAGCTTGGAATGGGTTTTCGGGGTAAAGTATACGTCAAGTATTCTCAGGATGCCTAGTCCAATCATCAGCGTGTCTGGGTTACATGCATTGCTGAACCTCAACTTTGGAGCCCTAAGTCCCAATGCTGCAATGGTTCAGTCTGTCGTCGGTCAGAACATCCTGTTTAAGGGTTGAAGGTTTGAGGATGTCGGGACCGCCTCTTGAGCCCTAACTCCCATTGAGGGCTGTAATTCCAGCTTCTAGATTCTATAGAGCCCAAAACACCCTTCAGGCAGGAAACAACTCCAATTACGGATTCGGCTGATAATCCTCATGTCAACACTTTATTATGCCAGCATAACGGAGCACCACGACCACCATGACGACCAAGACGACAACGACCACGACAACCGTAACCACCAGGATGCCACCAAGACCACCAAGAAAGGCAGGCCTGACAGGCCAGACCAACATTGTTCCCCCCCCCAAACATCAGAAGAGTGTAGGACAAGTTTAGGACCAGCATGCTTGCCCCCCTATTCCGGTCGATTCCGGGACACCAGCACACACCACCACGCCAAGATGCTTCCCGCCTTGTACTGGCGGGGAGACATGACCGAAATGCTTTCCCGATGCACTGGCAGGTTTCAGATCCCCTAAACCCTAAACCCTAAACCCAAGTGAGTTAATGAATCGGGCCTTTCGGAGGATGCGATGGGACGTGGGGCATCTCGCGCGAACATCAACCTATGCCTTAACAGCCTCCGTGTAAAGATCAACAAGGGACACTATGTAATCCTCGGTTAAAGAACTACAGGCTTTAGGGCTTTAGGGGTTCAGGGTTTGGGGTTTAGGGTGGTCCCCCTTTCTCGTCAGTTCAACTCCGACTGTGGCTTGGCCGCACGTCGCCTGGAGCCTTTGCGTCAGTGGCTGCCATGCCTGCGCCCCTATGAGGCGGAACCGGGGGTAGAGGCTGCCCACATTCATAGGGGCCCCTAGAGGGGGTCGGGGGAGGGGGACCTGAATGCTCGTAATCAGGCACATTAAAGGAAGTACAATTCCCCACCCCCCCCTCCCCCTCTGCAATGGGCTCTTGATTTTCATCAAGGTCCCAAGCCCCAAGTATACAACTTTTGAGGCACATGTTATGTATATTTAGACCGTAAACACTTGCCCCATTCTTGAAGGAATACAAGGAACATACCATTCCAGAGGCTGTGCAATGTGCTCTTTGGGTTCAAGGTTCGGGGTTAGGGTTGGGAGTTGAAGGGTAGGGAAATACGAAACCTTTCGCTTTGCAAGTTGTCTTGGAGATCATGGATTCTGGGTTTAAGGCTTAGGGGGGTTATTTGACGTTGAAGGTTTCTGTGGATAGCTTGAGCTTTGATGCTGCAGTGCACAGGCATGAGGTCAACATACGTGCTTCATTAGGACCCAGAGTAGGCCCTTATTCACTTTTAGGGCAAATTAAGGTTCCCTTATAACCCCCTTTAAACCAAAAAGGGCACCCTTGTTGTTCACAGGTTACTCTTAGGTCTAGTTCATGACGCCGCCAGGTGTCCCAGTTGAGCGTGGTCGTATTCTTCCTGGGACTTCTGATTGCCATAAGACTGCGCCCCCGGGACTGAATCAGTTTAGCGTAGGCTAACGTTAACCCCGCATAACCTATTGTTTGGAGGATGTTTATAAGGAAATCTTACTAAGGAGCCCTAAAAGGTGGGTTCTTTAGGGTCCAGGCTTTAAAAGATTTACCTTTTTTGAGGAACTAGATAGAGAAACCATAATCAGGAACCCTAAAAAGGTAGGTTCTTCAGGGTTCAGGTAGGGTCTACCTGGACCCTAAGGAACCTACCTTTTTAGGGCTCCCGAACCTGATTTCTTTATAGAAGTCCCTAAAAAGGGTAGGTTATTCGGGGTTAAGGTAGTCGGTTGACAGAAGCCTCCACTTCGACGGTTTAGGGTTTAGGGTTTAGGTTGCACCGTGATCTGAAAGCTTAATGTAGGGGCCTTCATATGAGGGGCCAAAAAAAGCACCTGAGCATAAGCATGTTAAAGGGATATCCCTGCCTTAATGGGCTTCATTATAAGGGGTTTATATGGGATATCCCTATCCTAACTGTTGCTTGCGTGCTTTTTTTGGGGCCCTATCATAGTTACCAATACTGTTTTGGGTGTTCTTACAAGTGTAGTATAGTATGCACAAAAAGCCTTATTCGCATAATTAAGGCCGCTGCATTGGACCTTTTGAACCCTCTTCATCTACAAGACATCTCCCCTGACACGAAATCCGAAACACACGCGACCACATGGTACCGTCGACCTGAGAATGCCCAGAGACTCCAATATCCCTCAATAAATTAAGGATTATTCCGTAAATTATAGTAGGATCCCTAATATGATTTAAGGAATATTCCTTAATTAAGGGATATTGGAGTCTCTGGGAATGTTAAGGCATCCCCACACCTCGGCCCTAAACCCATAAAGACCGGACCCCAAGACTATCACTCTTATAGGATCCTTAAGGGAGGGTGGTTCAAGGGGGGAGGGTATAAGGAATCCGTAGGGGACTGTAAGGGAACCTTAGGGAGTACTAGGGAGAATTAGGGATCACTAGGCTATTTACCCCCCTGGGACCCCCCTCCCTTAAGGATACCCCAACACTTTCTGATGTTTGTGACGCATGGTATCTGAACTTCAATTATTTTGGGTGGGGTTTAGCGACCTTTAGTGTTGAGGGTTTGCAACCTCAAAGCCTGCACTCCAAACTCGCGACCCCAATCCTTACATTTGGTTAGTAGGGAATGGAAGAATGGTAGCAATAGTAGCTATAATTGTACCCCATTCCTCCATTCCCTACTAACCAAAGGTAAGAGTCCTGAATCACAAATCCAAGGCACCCCCTCAACGACATCACTTTATGGGGCCTGCATGGCGATTAGGTAGGCAAAGGCCACAAAATCCTGCCTCCTTTCAACATAAAGCGAAGCACTGCTTTTAGTCTTCTGTTTCTTCTTCTTGAACAAATATGTTGATGCAGCCTCGGGCTAGAGTGAAATGCAGATGAGTCGGCACCGATGCTGAAAATGTGGAACCGACAAGTGAGAGATGCTTCTACTGTCATGGGATCGAAAGTGTGGGAGGGTAGATATCCGTTGCCAGAGTACCGACCTTGACTTGTGGATCCTAAACCCCAAACCCTAAGCCCTAAATCCTAACCCGAAACCCAAAACCTACACCCTACATAAATCCTCAGGCACACCGGCCTTCCTTTCAGCACCGCTCCTGTGCTTCATCCCCATGCGCAAGAGCCTCAATTTCGGAGTTTTTAGTGCTTTCGGGCTGAGTGAGGCTGCAGGGTTTCAGTGTTGGGCTGAGGCTTTAGGGGCTTACTTATAAGGGTTTAGGGCTTGGGTGTCAGGGCTTTTTGTGCTCAAAGCATATAAAATTTGATTGCAGGCTGTGTACCCAAAACTGCACTCTCAAAGAGGCTCTCGGGGGTGTGTTTGACTGTTGGGCCAGACAGCATCACTCAAACAAAGCCTTCAAGAAGATATTAATTTTCCGTAGGGCTGTACAGTGCCATGCTTGCTCTAGAATTTGCTTTCCAGAGACGGTGCGCAGGGTTTACCCGGTTTGAGCGTTCGGGTATGGATTGCAGACACAGAAAACCGAATCCGAAACGCTTACACCTCAAACCCTAAACCCTCTACAAGCCAAATGCCTGCAAGACCAGTACAGGAGCCTGAATAATTACCAATAGTATTGCGGGGGGTTCCTATTTATGATTATAGTATAATATAGAGCCTAAAACCCAATTCTAATTATTAAGGCCCATACGGGAGTTTCCGAAAATTAGGGATACCTTATTCTGGGGTCCTCATAATTATAAATCCTACTATTTAGGGTACTATAATACGGTACCTTAATTTTCGGAAACTCCCATATAGTAAGCCTGTCGCCTTGGGAGCATCGGCACTGCGATCGCTCCGGAGTGTCCTGGGTTTAGAGTTTAGGTTTCGGGGTTGGGGGTTTCCGAAAACAGGGGACCCCAATATAGCACCCTAAATAGTAGGATCCTTATTATAAGGCCCCAGGATAAGGTACCCCTAATTTTCGGAAACTCCCGGTTTGTGGTTTGCAGATGTCTCAAAGTGCTAACCCCATGGCGCAAAAGTGCCGATGAAGGTAGGTAGATTAAATAATGATCCCTCAGAAAAGGACTCTTCTCTGGGATTTCTTGGCAAAAGCGCCACACTTTACATCCATGCAATTTATGCCGCCCTGCTCCTGCAAGCGGACAGAGCCGAGGGTTTTATTGTGCTAAGCCCCAGGCCCCTTTAAAGAACATCAAGCCCCCTTGATTATTGCGGTTCTTCGGGCCATGGGGGCTGTCTTGCAGGTTATGATAAAGGGTCGTTTTGAAACGAGGTTGCAGGGTTTAGGGTTCATAGCAGGAGGATTTAGTTTAGGGCTTAGATACTTGAGATCTAGGGCTCGAATCCGGGTTCAATTGCCTTGACACCTGCAAACCCAAACCCTAAAAGCCCACACCTGAAACAAAAAAAAAAAAAAAGTGTAGGGGCCTTAATAATTTGAATAAGATTTTGGGGCCCAGTATACTACAGTTACAACAAGGAAACCCCAAAAATAGCACAGGTAATTATTTAGGCCCCTATATTAAGTCTTACCAGCTCAGTAGGTAACCTTTAACGTTTTTCGGCATCTTTTGGATCCTACCCGAATTGAAAAGGTTAACCTTTTGTTGCGGCTTGGGTACTCAGCTTCTAAGAAGTCCACACCTTAGCTCTAAAGGTGAAATCCCAAACCCTGAGCCTTAATGCATTAAACCCTCACTATGCCCTTGTGCGACCGCCAAGTTCGCATCTGTCCCGAACTACCACTTCTGCGGCCTGGAACAGGCCACTTGTAGTGTTCAGGTCTAGGGTTTAGGGTTTAGCAATCAGGCCACTTGTAGGGTTTAGGTCAGTCTCGGCGTTTAGGTTTACCTGTTGCCCCAAATACGCCTTTTTGGGTAGGTATCCTTGTTATGTTGTCTTTATACACTACCCTAAACGGGTACTGTAGGTTTCTGCGTTTGCAAGTCGAGTTTGGTGTTTCTGCTGCACGACTACCTTAGATCCCCAATACCAAACCTTTAAACTTTTTTGGAGAATTTATCCATCTACTTCTGTGGCTTATTGGGGTAGTAAGCTACAAGTCCAAGGGTTCGACTCCTGCACGATTTCTTGTCGCAGCTTCGGAAGGCACATGGGTGGTTGTCAAAATTATGGTCCCTTTTGGGGTCCTTATTATGATACGGCACCTAATATTTAGGGTACCCCAAAAAGGGACCATGATTTTGACAACTACCCGACATGCCCGAATCTCCAAGATTGAAGCCAATGATGAGGCCCATTGCGGGACAGCCCTGAGCGAGTGGAGCAAGTTCCGGGAGCAAACGCTGATTGGCCGCAGCGCTGGAGGCGACCGCTTTTGGGAGGCAGTGCTGCAGTTGGTGCGCGACTGCTTGGAGCGGGAGGCGGTGGAATCCACATGTCGCTGTCGAGACGAGATTGACGATGCCCTATGTCTCCAAAGTTGTGCGTGGTTTCAATGTGTCTTTAAAACTTCCACTGTGTTTCGAACATAGTACGCTGAAAATGCGATGATACATTACAGTTCGGAATGCTCATGGTACGCATAACAGAATGTAGACAATATGGTATACTATTCTTGCAGGTTTATAATATAGTGTAGCCTGATGCATCGCATATTGTACGCAACAGTTATAGTGCACAACCCATGTATTGTTAGACGGTGCTATTTAATGCGTTGCTCCGCTCGAAATGGGACTAGCAGGTAGGGGCCGCGGCTTTAGTGATTAGAATAGGCTAATAAAAAACCATCGCATAGCAAAGCCGAGACTTCGAGATAAGATTATTGTCAAAAGGTCCAGGGTCGGACCGTAGAGCATGTACCCTTGTTTTCGTGGTTTATGGGTTTGGATGCACCTGTAGAGTGTTGTTGCTGGAGATGTTTGGCCCCAGGATGTGGGAGGTTGCATTCGAGGGATTTGGATCATGACTCAATACATTCCCAGTTGCACTACGGCTAGGACGGCTACGGTAACTCTAGTTCATAAACTGTGCATCCAGCAAGTGTCAGTAGGAAGTTCAGGAGATGGCCGTGTGCGGCCCGGGGTGGGGTCGAGGGGGGAGGGACTTCGGGGCGCGGGCTGGCATAGGGATGGGGCAATTAAGCGAATTGACACAACGGTGGCGGTAGCAGTGCCGGGGGTGGTGGCGGGAGTATGTCCACAGACATCAGGGAAGGGGGGGCGGGGGAGCTTGGGGGACAAAGAGTAATTGAACACTATAAACCCTAAACCCAAGATTGCTGAACACTACAAACCCTTAACCCCAAATTACTACTTCTTCAGGCCCCTCACTTGGTTTTCGGGCTTCAGGGCTTGACCCTCAGGCTTCCGCGGTTTGAGGCCTTCCGTCTTCAGGGGTCTGAGGGTTCTTAGTCTTAGGGTCTAGGGTTCAGGGTGCAGGGGCTTTTGTCAGGAAGTGTCGCTCCCTAAACCCTAAACCCTAATCAAAGGGGGAAAGGAGGGACCCCTGATGGGGACCCATACCCTAGAATGGGCGACAAGATGGGTATATAATGGCTATATTAAGGGTATATACCTAGGGGTCCTTATTCGGGGTCCCTCCTTTTACCCCCGGACCTAAGCTGTGCACTGCCAGGCATGAGCAAAGGAGTCTCTGCACCAGTGGCCTGATTTACTCGGGGATACTCGGGAACCACCCTATCAAGGCCCATACACCATAGAACCCTAGACCCTAAACCCCTGAAGCTTGCACAGGCGAGAGTTACCTAAAGCGCACGCTACCCCGTATTTTGGGGAATATGCCTTAAACAAGAAAGGGTGCGAATACTATGGATTAGGGCGGAAAGCTGAATCAAGGGATATTGGGCTTCGGTGCAGAATTTTATCACACGTTGGGCAGACCAAACCGTTCGGTTTTTGCATCCGGTCCTTTTTCTTTTGGACAAATTGCGAAGTTTTAAAGCATGTGCAAGAAACAAGGTGGGCTGCGGTCTGGGTTGCGCAGTTCGAAGTCCAGGAAGCCGACGCTCTGTAAACCCGAAACCCCAACCCAACCCTAAAGCCCGAAAGCCTAAAAGCTTGAACCCTAACACCCCATCCCTAAAATTCTTTATTTTGATATAGGTTATCATGAATAACATGAATATGAATCATATAGTATGAATGTAGTTATTGTTGCAATATTGAAGATGAGTATTATAACAGATTCCGAAGACGACATCCTCCAGGTCCTTGGCCTTTTCGGTTTTCGGGGTTAGGGATTACCTGTAGCCGAAAAGACCTACCTTTTTATATGGTTCCTTGTTTTGGTGAGGGTAGGTCTTTTGGGCCGCAGCTAGGTTGTGGTGTTTTTTTGCTTCGGTTTGGCAAATTTGGCCCTAAACCCGAAACAACCGTAGTTTTAGGGCTTGGTTTAGTGTTTATGGCAGATGGCCCCCGGTCGAGGACTCCGGCAGGAACGAGCTGTTGAGAAGTTGGGTAGGGATCAGCACGGCCAACCTAAATCCCATACAAGACAGAGGGCCTGACGTGGACGACTGGGCAACTACTCAAAGGATCATGGGACTTAGTAACTAGGGTTATTATTAGGGTAACTATACTTGTAGCTACTTATGAGCCCAGTTGAGGTACTTACAACCTTACTTACTAAGTCCCATGATCCTCCAAGTATGGAATTGGGGCAGCAAGAAGAGTTTGACTTTTCGACGACTCATTGCTCCTCGACACCGCAGTTAATGAGGTTCGATTCCATGTAAGCGCCCGAATTTCTCGGATACACACCTGAGCAGTCGGAAACATCAAGAATCCAAGGGTGAAAGGAGGGACCCTTAATAAGGACTCCCAGGTATATACCCTTATTATATACCCGGACCCATTATATAGCCCATTATAGAGTAGGGGTCCCCATTAAGGGTCCCTCCTTTTCCCCATTGAAAGAAGGACAATGCTCGAATTGCTCTCAAGAGCAAGGTTGGACACAAGGGTCAGGCTGAGGTCAGGCCCTATAGTAGCATATTGTTGGTGCCTGTGGCTCCATCTACACGACCTGCTTCCGGGCTCGTGCTGAAGGCTCTATTCTTAGCCTTGTCCTTTTTCATGGTTCCCCCAAGTGAATATTCTTAAATAATTCCTACTAAGGGATATAGGTATAGGGCTCTGTCTATTATTTCTAAAAGGACAAGAGTGTCTATTCTACTCACATCTCTCGGGCCCGATCCTCTTGACCGCTCCTTTACTCCAAACTTGCCTTCGGCTTCTTCCAAATAAGCTACCTATTCTCCGTTGTAGTTCCTCTTTTTTGTTTAAGCGGCTATAAACAGCATCATGTAAGGTAATCCACAAAAGGAACTACAAAGGATACTATAGGTATTTTTGCAGGTTGGCTGCTGCGGCTATACTCCAATCCCAACGTGTCTGGGGGGCTTGCATCACAGCCATTGATGTCGCGAACGAATGCAGCCGACCTCTGGTATCTATAATATAACACTCGAATCGTTTCACATCAGTAAGCCCTGGACCCTGTAAGTCCTAAACCCTAAACCCCTAAACCCTAAAACTAAACCCTAAGCATCCCTAAACCCTAAACCCGAAACCTTAAGCCTTCAAACCTAATCACTACTAGGAGCCCGAGACCCTCACCGTGGCACTTATGCCCCGAAACCTGAAACCCAAAGAGTCCCACCCCGTGACGCCCTGGTGTTCGAAGGCCAGCAGCCGACAGAGGGTTTAGGGTTTTTAGGGTTTGGGGGCTTAGGATAGAGATTAGTCGTTTTCGAAAGCTAGAAACTGAAACACTCTACAACCTTCAACATGGCCAGGTGCTGCTGCGTTGCCTAGTTGCCTTATGGATTGCCAGAGACTGAGCAAGAGGGATTAGGGTTGAAGGGGTTATGAAGGGTTTACTATTACAGTTTATAGACCCTGAGCTAATGTCTTCTTCATACAATAGTTCACTGCAGCATTTTCTTTGTACCCTTATACTAAAGCGCGCTTGTGTCCCGAGGCGTTGGAAACCTTCAGGTTTCAGGTTTTAGGGTTTAGCAGCCCGGGGAAGTGGTGTTTTTTTTTTTGCTGTGGCCCCGCCGGGTCTTTTTAGATCCGAGGTAGTACACCAGACATTTTTTGTTATTGGCTCGCCGAGTTCGGCGGGGCCGCAGCAAAAAAGAAAACATCACCCGGGCCTTGCCCAAAGGGTCGCCCCAGCCCACAGTGAGTGATTGAGCGTCCGGGCGGGGCCGCAGCAAAAAAAAAAAACACCACCCCGGTCCGGGCAGGGCCGCAGCAAAAAAAAAAACACCACCCCGGCGGGAGACATCGACGCCCAGGCCCGCAGTGAGTGAGTGAGCGTCCGGGCGGGGCCGCAGCAAAAAAAAAAACACCACCCCGGTCCGGGCGGGGCCGCAGCAAAAAACAAACACCACCCCGGTGGGAGGCATCGACGCCCAGGCCCGCAGTGAGTGAGTGAGCGTCCGGGCGGGGCCGCAGCCAAAAAAAAAACACCACCCCGGTCCGGGCGCGGCCGCAGCAGAAAAAACACCACCGCGGCGGGATTGAAGCTTTTCAAAACTCATCATAGAGGCATTCTGCTTGCAACAGGGGGGTGCGTCATTGTTTTTCATTTTTTCGAGAAATTGTATTATATGATACATGTTTTTTTTTTAAATTATGTCGAACCTTGTTAATTAGAGTATATTGTGCTTAAGTATATGGTGTTGTATTAGGCTATCATCATGCCAGCAAAGACAGCAACCACATTGGGCCCTCTCACAACCCGTCATAAAGACGTTGTGTTTGCAAATGGGGGGGGGCTGCGCCCCCCCCAACCTCCCCGCTTTCGTTTTAAGCCGTGCAGGCTTGCCTTCAACAACATCACACCATGAACAAGACTTGCACCAAACACAAAAGTTTTAGAGCTTTGCAACACTCATCCTAAAGGCCTTGAGGAGGTGCGTCCCCGTTTTTCTTGGCTGATCAAAGCCGCTTCGAGTATATATCATCCTGCCAGCAAAAACAGAACCTATATGGAGGACCCTCTCAGAACCCGTCATAAAGACGTTGTGTTTGCAAATGGGGGGGGGGGGGGCTGCGCCCCCCCCAACCCCCCCGCTTTGGTTTTAAGCGGTGCAGGCTTGTTTTCAGGAACATCGCACCATGAACAAGACGTGCATCAAATACAAAATTGTTTTAGAGCTTCCCAAAACTCATCATAAAGGCACTCTGTTTGCAAAAGGGTTGCGTCATTATGTTATTTTTGATTATGTTATAGCATGTTATGGTATATTATAGTATAGTATACTATGTTGTTTTAAACTATAACAAGTCAGATTAAAATATTGGACAGCAAGAGCAGTAACAATCCCATTAACAAGAACAATAACACAACCACCGGGGAAAATAGCACTCTAGCAAACCCACCCAAGCCACAACAAATCACAAAATAGTTCCAAACCAAAATAAAACTACCACGGGTGGTTTTGTTTTTTTGGCTCCGGCCTCGCCGCAAGCTTGCGGCACCCAATGACCAAGTGGGGCCGTACACAAAAATACACCGTGGGTCGTGTTTTTTTTTGCGCTGGCCCGCCGAAACGTCGCGGCGTCCAACGAGGCTTCTCCTTCCCCTGCCACCCAGCGGGGCCGCAGCAAACAAAAACACACTGGGTGGTGTTTTTTTTTTTGCTCTGGCCCCGCGCCGGCGCCCAAAGAAGCTTCTCCTTCCCCTGCCTTTCGGCGGGGCCGGAGCAAAAAAAAAACACCTTGGGTGGTTTTTTTTGCTCTGGCACCGCCGAAGGGTCGCATCGCCCAACGGCGCGAAACAAAAAAAAAAACACCTTGCAAAAACAATTCTAGAAACCACTGACACGGGGCCCGAGCAAAAAGGGGCCACAACAAAAGAAAAAACACCCTGACCCCCTAAACCCTGAACCTTAAACCCTAAACTCTAAACCCTGAACCTTACACCCTAAACTCTACAACAAGAAACCCAGGTCCCCAGGCCCGTCAGTAGTTCTCTGAGAATATTTCTGAAATCGGAGTCTCCAGTAACTAGCATAATGTAGACTCCTTGCGTCTTTGGGGTTGTAGGTTACAAGATGAGTGAGTTTAGACTGTCAGGGTGTATCATTTTCTTGGGTCTATGTTACGCTTATTCTTTTTCTTCAGAGCTCAAGCTTTGGGTGCTTAGCAACCGAGGCGCAACTCAGTTCCCTCATAGTCCTTATATGTTCCTGCTACAAGATGCCCCCCCCCCCCCCGCCTTCCAAAAAACAACAAAAACTGATCCAACTATGATGCCTGTGTACTAGTCAGCTACTAGACCCTAAACCCGTACACCCTAAAGCAAAACCGCGAGATTAAGCCCGCCACTCCAAGCCCTGCGCCACAGAGGCGTCGCGAACGACCCCTGAACCCTTAAACCCCAAAACCCTAATACTGAACCCCAAACCCTTAAAGAACCCTTGTGCAACCTTACCAAAACCTTTCCATTGCACCCCCTCCCCCCACATGCCCACACCCACACCCAAACAGACAAACACACACAACCACACAACCACACAACCACACAACCACACAGCCAAAACCCAAACCCTAAACCCCAGCGCACTTGTCTTCTTCTAGATGGGTGGTTGTCCAAATTATGGTCCTTTTTTGGGTCCCTATTATAGTACCGCACCTTACATTTAGGGTACCCCAAAAAGGGACCCTGATTTGAACAACCACTCAGATAGACAGCGACAAAGGTCTTGATGGTCATCTCGCGGTTACACCGGGCCCCAGGAGACGTGTCGAGCTGGTCGAGGCTGGTTCCTTGAGAAGGGATTACTTGGAAGGGCAGGGGACTTAGTAAGTAGGTGGGTTATAATTGGGGTAACTCCATTTAGGGTACTTATAACTCTACTTATAACCTACTTACTAAGTCCCCTGCCCTTCCCACTATGGGGGTGTCAGAACGGGAACCAAGGTTCAGGGTTTAGGGGTTTAGGGTGTAGAGTTTAGGGGTTTAAGGAGCTGAGGTTTAGGGCTTAAGGGTTATGGGGTTTAGCAATGCAGTAATGCAGGGTTCGGGGGTTGAGCGTGTTGTGTTTGGGAGTTATGGCTTATGGCTTTCTTTCGGGTTGAGGCCTGTGGGCTTTTTATAACCCCTAAACCCTAAACCCTAAATCCTAAACCTGAAGGTTTTATGGTTTGGGGCTCAGGGTTCAAGGCTTTATGGTACCAGGGCTTTGGGATCGGGGCTTCAGGGCTTCCGGGTTTTAGGGCTTGTAGGGTTTAGGGTTTAGGGTTAGGGTTTAGGGTTTAAGGTTTAGGGTTAGGGTTTAGGGTTTAGGGTTTATGCATGCGGTCTCTCGGACAGTCTCGAAGCAACCACTTGGAGACTAGACTACAGAATGATAAATTACGAATTGGAGTCAATCAGCGATTCTGCCTGTGGAATCGCCTTGACCTTGCAAAGACCTGCTGTGGGTCCGGATACTCGAGCTGGCTAACCAGGGGAGTCCTGGGAGCCACATAACAAGTCTTGAGGAACAATCTGTACTCCCTGCCGCACATATCTCGATGGATCTTCTGTACAATAGTCGCCGCATGAGGCAGCTTCGGCCGGAACAGAACTGCTGGAACTTTACAAGGAACACCTGCAAATCTCAGGGCTGGCATGTTCTGGATATTCCAATCACATTTACAACGCTGCAACACGGAACGCACCGTGTGTGCGAAAGTTACAAGTTGGCAGGTGAGGGCTTGCCGATGCAAGGTAAGCTGTGGGTACTGTGTTTCATGCACCCAAAGTGACTTGACCTTAACACCCTTACACCCAACGGGCCTAACACTGTCCACCCAACTAGCCCAATTCAAGGGAACTACCCACCCCGTCTGGCCGGTGAACGCGTAGTACATCTCCAGCAAGGAGAAGCCCCCTGGATCCCAAACCCACTCAAGAGAACTAAACCACCTAAACAGGAGTTGCCCAAAAGGCGCGCACAGTAGGAAATACCTCCGGTCGGGCTCGCAATCTTTGCCAGGGAATGGAACCCCTACATCACAGAGCATCATGCCAAGAGCTTGCAACTTTAGTTGCAGTGCATCCTCGCTGACCCGCTCAACACATGAGGTTTTTTTAGCCTGGCGAAAACAACTCGAAACCCCAAGCTGCAGCTGATAAACTGCATCTTGACGAATACAAGAAACCTGCCATGCCATCTGTGCTTTCGCATGTGCTTCAAGCACCCCAGAACCGAAACCCTGCATGGCGCTCTTGGCGCACGCATCCGCTTGATGGTTGTGATACCAGAGCCATGCGTGGTGAGCATCTGGTGCAGTCCGCCACTCACGGTGACTTTCTACTTTGATAATGCGCCACGGCCGCGGGGACCTCTGCAAGGCAGCATTAATCGAACTCCAAACATCAAGATTCGCATGCTTGCGCCACAACAGTGGTGACCATCCCTCCTGCTGGAGTTTACGAAAACCGGAGACGGCAACTTCTGAATCAGAGTAGATTGCACCGCCTGTGCCTGAGAGAACCGCCGCCAGAACGGCTAGCAATTCTGCGCGATTATTCGTTTGCTGCTCCCCAGGAACAACCCCTTTAACAACCCTAGCCCCATCTAGCTTCTCAGGTTCGGCTATTACCACCCCCCATGCAGACAGAGACAAACACGGATTTTCTGGACAGATAGTCGGTCCATCCGTGAAAAGGTGTACATCTTCATCGAACAGTTCAGGCACATCTGCCCACTGCAGTTGCTGAAGCGCAGCATGAAAATCTTTGACTTCTTGAGGAACTTTAAACAAACCCCACTGCACCTCAAAAGAATCGCAAAGCCGAAGGGTATCCAAGATGCCTTCTCTGCACGGCACAGTGGCAGGGCAGTACAACAGCATGTGCTCAGTTGTTAAAACATCATCACAAAATGGGCATTTCAGATCCGCATCACCCGTGAAATGTTTGCGGCGCTCAGCCGGGACAATGGCCCCACACGCATAGTTGGCAACATGCGCATTATACCCCTGCTTAGTCTCCAAACGGGACCGCACTCGGACTACTGAAAAATCCGCTAAACCACAAAGACCTTTGCAAGACTGAACTTGGGCACAGACATGCGTCTCCCAGGCAGCTAACAGCTTGCCCCACACTAACGTCCAGTTGGAAAAATACACATGCAAAGCAACCCCATGAGGCAAAACAACATGTCCATTGGCTTGAGGCTCCCACCCCAGAAACTGCAGGTCTAGGAAAAACAGCGACAAAGGCCCCACCCCCTTAGAAACGCTCACTCCTACAAAAAAGTTCCACTTTGCTGCAAAATCCGGCTCAGTAGCCCAAATTCTACGCAGTGTCTGCCAGCGCTTCTTGAAAACTAGCAGCCAAGGTTCATAAATGTGGCTTCCAGCAACCAGCGGGGCAAGATAGTGATTGCGCTGCGAATGCTCACCCCAAATCGCTTTGTTGTTGGATGTACCTCTTAAACATCTAAAAGACGAGTCTGAGATGCTGGCCATCTCACAACCATACAATGCAGCCGGCAAGATAACCTTTGTCAAGGCTTTTACTTTCCTGTCGGCACCCCATTTTACAAGTTGCAACTTTTGAAACTTCCCAGCATTTTTCTCCAGCCTGTTTTGGAAACCTTTAGCACATCCCCTAGCTCTAGCACTAAACACCACCCCCAAGTCGGTGAAATCGTGAACAACAGGAATTGACACCCCTTCCAACACCGTACGGCGCAAAAAGCTACGACCTTCTTTCGTGGTTGCGTACGCAAACGACTTACTCAAGGACACTGTCATCGCCAATTGCGACGTAGTCGATGTGATGCATGCAACAGCTTCAGTGGCACTTGCCCCTGAGCTAGCCTGAACCGTCCAGTTATCTACATACGACTTCATGGGCACACTGTGCTTGATTTCAACTTCGGTCGAAACCAACCATGTGACCGCAATCATTGACACAACCGCCAATGGGCATCCTTCAGGGACACCGGTATGACTGAACACCGGTGCCGAGAAATGTTCACCTACCCTAAAATGCCTCCTAACCCCTTTCAAAAAAACAGCATACGCATTCCTAAGGGTGGCAGGCCACCCTAAACGCTCGGCTGCCAAGTCCAAAACGGGCCTAGAAATAGTACTATATGCCTTGCTAAGATCTAGGGCGAACCCTACGAGTGGTTGACCGGAGCACAAAGAAAATTCGATTTCATTTTGCAAGATCCAGGCTAGGTCCATAGCCGACTTGCCAGGCACAGAACCACACAATGTTGATGGAAGATGCGGCAAAATAGCGGCATACACCTTTGCAGCCTGACACCTCGCCCAAACTCTATAGATAGACGCAAGCACCGTGATTGGCCGGGCACCTGCTGGCGACTCTGGCTGCGCACACTTCCCTAGTAATGTAACGGCAGCATCAAGAAGAGGCTGCGGCCACTTCCCAGTGCTGGTGATACTGTTCAACATGTGAAGGAGCCTTTTTAGGAGTTCAGGAGGCAGCGCTTTCAACTCTGGGAAAGAAAACCCATCCAAGCCCCTAGCCTTACCATTTTTTGACGTTTTAAGGGCCCACTCCAACTCGCTTACAGTGATGGTCGGATCAAAAGCAGGCAGTTGAGGTAACTGTTGCGCCAGCCGGCGTGCAACGTGCAAGTCAGCACGCTTCTCAGTTAACCAAAACGATTCCCAATACTTTGTGATAGCACCCACCACCACCTGAGGGTCCGCATTCCACATTTTCTGCTTAACAACCCTTTTTTGCATACAGCTCTGCATCGGGGTATCCAATGTGACTACTTGCTTGTCAACAGCGAGAACCCTACAGTTAGTGTTACCAAAACTCCACACTGTTCCCGGAGACGGCGGTCTCCCATGCACAAGCGAAAACTTAGCATTAGATCCCTTCTTTGCCCGCATCCATTTGACATGCACAGTTTCCTCATCAACTAACGTGTGCACGATAGGAGCCTGATCCGGTTTTAGTTGGCGCGCATGCAACTTGCCCCCAGACTTCCAATCGTCCGTCATTTGCTTCGACAAAAGTCGGGCTTTCTGCTTGGACACCACACTATCCCACCATTTAACCTCAACCAAAACCGCTTCACGCACTACAGAAAACCATGCTGGCGCCGGAAACTCACAAGGAACATAGTCCACTACTTCATTTTCCAACAACCAGGCAGGAAACCCTCTAGGGAACCCAGGCATGCTATGCAATCGCTTCCATGCATTGTGTTGAGCCGCTGACACAGGCCGCTTGGCATCACACACATGATGGGCCAGTTCTAACAGGACATTGACGACCTTCTGCCGTTTAGAAACAATCATCCTGTCCGTGATGCAAGAACCATCCCGCAACGCTGACAACTTGGTTTGCCTGCTTGCTCTAAGCTGCCCTTTGCCTCTACCTAGATAAATGCTCGAAAGAGTTTTGCCCAAGACTTCAACGGAGGCTTGACGAGCAATAGTTTCAAAAGTGTTCGTAAAAATTTCAAACTGCTGGGTAGTATCATTTTGGCGTACTGCGAGGGTTTAGGGTTTAGGGTTTGCTGCAAGATTGTGTAGCGGTAGTGTAACAGGGGTTGTAGGATTTATTAGCGGTTTTGTTGCCTGCGAATCGCAGACATGGCCCGACTGTGGCGGGCCATCACATTACTCACCCGCCCCACGCCGTCTGAGGCGGTAAACCACCCAAACCTATACCTTTTAGGTTTTAGGACCTTAGGTCCATGTTGGTTAACAACAACCACACAATTCTGCAGCCAAGCTTCTGCTCAAAAAAGCAAGGCAGAGTACGGCAGGAGGTGGGCAGGAGGTGGGCCAGAGGGGGCTAGGGGGGGCCAGAGGGGGAAGGAGGGAGGGGGTGCAGGCGGACCACCGCCACAAGGGGCCAGGGACTGGCTGTCTGTCAACAAAAAAGCGGTTTTTGCCAAGTCCCCCCCTAGGACCCGCCTGGAGGCCCCTGGGTCCTCGAACTCTGGTTGCTGCAGGCCCCAAGCCCCCCCGGGGGGGGTGCTTTTTTGGAGGGGGGCCAAATAACTTAGTCCTGCATGGTCAAGGTACTGGGGAGAACGTGTCCCGGTACCGGGCCTAACGTGGGTGCTACATAAGCGCCGCCCACCATCGAAGGTGGGCGGCCTAGGCCTGAGTTTAGGGTTTAGGGTTTAGGGTTTAGGGTTTAGGGTTAGGGTTAAGGGTTTAGGGTTTAGGGTTTGGGCTTGGGCAGAAAAAAGGAAGGGCAGGGGACTTAGTAAGTAGGTTATAAGTAGAATTATAAGTACCCTAAATGGAGTTACCCCAAGTATAACCCTACTCATAACCTACTTACTAAGTCCCCTAAAGCCCCTCCAAGTAGGGCTTTGGGATCTGGGCTTTAGGGCTTCCGGGTTTTTTGGGTTTAGGCTTGGGCATATAGGGCTAAGCGTAGGGCTTGGGGAGTTTAAGTTTAAGGCTCTAGGAATTTGGAGCTTAGGGCCTCGGGTTTGGGGTTTCGGTCTTCGGATTCGATCAGTGCTGAGGGGTCCATACATAGTTACCCTTGCGGCCGGGAGCCCATACAGTAGAAGCCAGAAAGTTGGAACACCATTATCCTCATGCCCTTAAGGTAGTAAAGTAGAGGGAATCCTAGCACATATCATCCTAAATCCATGTTCCGACTCTCTGGGGTTCACTATAATCCCTCCTGCCTCATCGTATGTCTGCTGGATTCTGGCAGGTGGTCCCAGGGAACACACATCTCAGCCAGCCCTGTCCCAAGATTCTGCCGAGGTTTCTGCTTCAGATTTCACATTGTGTTGTGGTGTTATGCATGAGGGTTTGAGGTTCCCGGGCCCTTGCAGTACACTCCACGCCTTCAACTGTAGACCTGTTGCCTAAGCCGCACCCTAAACTGTACTGCTCTCGGGCACGACTTGTAGGTTGTCCCGTTTGGCACCATGATGTTGTTGAAGAGCATCTACCAGTGTGCTGCCATCGGTGTTTGCAACTTGCTGTAGCGGTACGACTAATAATCAGAAGAGGGTGCCGGTGTACAGGATAGTCAGAAAAACCATCATAACAAGAAGCCCTAGGGCATAATTTGCGGCATCATGTTGGTAATGATTCAGGTGCTACACAGCCTCTACCCGAAACCCGAAGCCCTATCCCAAGCAGGGGCGCGTTGTGAGTGAAACGCTTAGCATCCAGAGAGCCCCATACCCCTAAACGAAACAGGACAGTGTTTTTTTAATAGGGCTTCGTAGCGTCTCTGCGCGGGTTTTTGGAAAAAGGCTGCTCTTCAGCTAGCAGCAAGTTGAACGTGGCATTGAAAGTTGTGACAGCGCTACGAAAGTTCGAAACAGCACTACTGCGTCAACAACCCACCCAATGATGGTGATCAAGTTGATGACAATGCTTCTTCCACCTGTGCCACTGGCAAAGGCGCCGACGAAAGCCTGGCGGGTCTGGGAAGCCTCAAATATAGGATTTAGGTTTTGTGGCTTTTAGGGTTTAGGGGTTTAGGGTGTATAGGGTTTAGGGTTACGGGTTTAGGGTGGGATGAAGTAAGTAGGATGAAGGATCCTTTATATAAGGACTCTTACTTGAGAATCTCCCACCTACCTTCATCCCACTTTTGGAGCCGTTTGATGTTCTTGTAAGACTGCGGGCCCGAGCAATATAGAAGCCTCAATATGTAATTACCAACAGAACCCATAAGAGCCCTGTAAACCTAAGACCATATAGGCACACTCCAACACCCTGTAAACCAACCTCAACACTAAACCTTGAAGCCGTAAATTTTTGATCAAATCGCAAACCCAACTTACAAAGAACATGTGAGGTCCACCAGTCAAGCAACGTCCACCACCCAGCGCCGCCCGGCCTGACCAACATCTCAATTTCTCTCTGCGCTTGGTCTAGAGCTCACAGCGTTTGGAGATTAGGCTCAGGCTTTAGAGTCTGGTATTTCGGGTTTGGTTTAGGCTTCGGGATGTGGGCTTTGAGGTGGTAGGATTTCGGGTGTGTTTTGGAGCTGGTACGGGGCTTGGGTGGCTTGCTTCTATTCCAATACAATATAGTGTTCCTTCTTCTCAGTTCTGGGGTTTCTGTGATACGGATCGTATGTACCCGGGTCTCGGCTGTGGATCCCGTAGTGACAAGCTCCCATTCCGATGAGGCTGTTTGCATCTTGCTCGTAATTTTGTGCTTGTTGCTTTGAGCAGAGGTTACTTTCACGAGGCTTTAGTGGGGGTCTCGGGTTCAGGAATAATCACAGAAACGCAACTGCCTGGCTGTTGGCTACGCAGGAAGCCGTATGAGGAAGGCCTTAAGCCCTAAACCCTATAAAACCCTAAACTCTAAGCCCTAACCCTGCAAACCGTGTTGCCTGGGCTCTGTCATCGCTTCCTCGGGTCTCCCTTCCATCCTAATCGCCTTCGAACTCTTTCTAGCCCGTACCGAACCTCAAAAGTCCCTAAAGCCCAAGCCTAAACCGCATGTTGTTGACCTTAAGACCTAAACCCTAAACGCCGTATCCTTCTCCTTTGACTTAAACCCTACCTTAAGCCGGAATAACCTACCGTTTTAAGGACTTATATAAGGAAATCATAATAAGGAACCCTAAAAAGGTAGGATATTCAGGGTTAAGGTAAACCCTAAACCTGAACCCCAGATCCTTCTCCTTGAGTCCACGGCCTTTCGACTCCTAGCCGACAGTACTTAGGGGTACTTAGAAACAAATTTTAGTTTCTGGGGTATTATAATCCCTAAGAAACAGCGAAAATTCTAATTTTTGCTAGGGTACTAAGTTCAGTATAGAGTAGGAAGCTGAGAGAGCTCAGGCGCAGAGATCCGATCCCTGGAAGCTGCCGGAGCATGACCTGTCCGCATCCGATTTCGAGGTACCCATACCGGGACCCTAAAGAGCCTACCTTCTTAGAGTTCTCTAATATGACTTCTTTATATAAGTCCTTAAGAAGGCATCCGATTTCGAGATACCCATACCAGGGGTAGTTATAAGTAGGGGTTACAAGTCCCCTAATATGGGTTATAACAAGTCGAACTGTACCCATACCGGGACCCTGAGGAACGGGCCGTTTCTAGGGTTCCCGAATATGGATTTCTTTACCTAAGTCCTTGAAAAGGTAGGTAGGGTTGTGGGGCCTTGGGTTGGGAGGGTTTCAGAGTTTACGGTTTCTGTGATCTTCTGTTACTGTCAAAGGGGAAGAGGAGGGACCCTTAATGGGGACCCCTACCCTATAATGGGCTTTATAATGGGTATATAATAGCTATATTAAGGGTATATACCTAGGGGTCCTTATTAAGGGTCCCTCCTTTTACTCTTGGATACTGTGAACCTCGGAAACTTGTCCCGCGCCCTCAAGATGATGAGTGCGAGAATTCCCTATACATCTAGGCTCATATCCTACTCCTTCTTTAGGTTATCTTCTTTTCTATACAGCGGATCCTAACCATAGAACGAGGTGTCCTACAAAAGGGGTAGTGCATGAGCCCAGCGTCGGACATCAATGCAACATGCACCCTGGTCTGATTTTGAGCCCTCCCAGCTCGGGCATACTTGCATTGGCCATACATAAATAGGGTTTAGGCATCGAGCTTGTCATCGTTCGCAAATCGACGCTCAGGGCAATAGCTGCGTACTTATGCTGCGTAGCTTGAGTGTTATCAAAGCTAGAGATCCAAGGGTAAAAGGAGGGACCCTTAACAAGGTACATACCCTTAATATAGCTATTCTATACCCATTATTTAGCCCATTATAGGGTAGGGGTCCCATTAAGGGTCCCTCCTTTTCCCCTTGGAAGAGAAGTGTGCCCGAACTGTGAGGCCGGACCCTATATCTAGCAGTAGCAGTACTATGGAAGCCTCAATTTCTTACCATGATTATTCCTTAGGGTTCCTGATTTAATCATACTATAAAGGAGCCCAAACCCTATTCTGATTAGAAAGGCCCCTACATTGTTGCAATGCACATTGTGCAGACAGGCTGTCGCTGAGAGAAGACATGTCACAGGCACCCGGCGGCTCCAAACCCACTTCACTGGTCATTCATGAATGGGCAAACAAGACACGAAATTGGTGCATGCATGAATCCATGAACTACCACCTTTACCTGCATGTGCTTATGTACGTTCGTATATGTATGTGCATATGCGTGTGTATGTACATATATATATATACTATACACACACGGAGACATGCTTTTCTCACGCGCAGCACCTTGTCATTACAGGGGAAGGAATTCGGATCCTTAGGGCCCATGAGGCAACTTAGGGTTTAGGGTTTAGGGTCCAGTGCCCAGGGTATAAAAAGGATCCCACTACTTAGGGTACTATCTTATTAGGGTCCCTTAGTTTCGGAAACCCCCTTTTGGTGATCTTAAGCTTTTAGGACCCTGAGACCAAAGGGGTGGTTCTAGGACCTTTGCAGGAGATCGATGCGGCTGGCCCACAAACCATGAAACCCCTAAACCCCGAACATATACACAAATCCTAAACCCCCAAGCTGCAGGTGGACGAAGCGTGGATTCCGACTCACATATCCCCGTGCTTCTTGGGGGAGTCTCGCTACGAGTCAGCCCTGCCTGTTCAGCAGGGTGTCGGGCTTACTATAGGGGCCTAGACAATTCCAATACTATTGTGGGGGTTCCTTCGTACGATTCCAGTAGAACGGGCTCCAAAACCCTATTCTAATGGTTAAGGCCCCTACTATAGTAGGGTTTCGGGTTTCTGATTCAGGATCTCGTTTTCAGGGCATTGGGTCCTCAGTGCCGTAGTAGAAGGGTAACCTTTTACGAGTTTGGGGGTTCCAAAATCTCTATCTAGTCCCAAAGGTGAAGCTTTGGACACCATTAAGTCCCGCGAAATACTGGACAAGTAAGGAGAACCGAAAGTCAACAAGAAGAGTTAAAGCCCATCAAACTCCTCATCTGGACCGGTCTGGTCCTGATTTCCCCTCCTCTCCACATTCACTGCTGAGCCAGAGATACCAAGCGTGTGGATTCGTGGATGACAGCCAGTTGTTGATCCCCTTGTCCTCTAGCCCTGAACTCCCTAAACCCGAAACCCTAAGCCCATAATCCTCCCTAAACCCGGAGTCCTCAACCCATATTCCTCAAATCCCTAAACCCGAAACCCTAAACCTATAATCCTCAAATCCCTAAACCCTAAACCCTAAACCCATAATCCTTAAATCCCTAAACCCGAAACCCTAAACCCATAATCCTCAAATCCCTAAACCCGAAACCCTAAACCCATAATCCTTAAATCCCTAAACCCGGAACCCTAAACCCATAATCCCTAAACCCCTAAACCCATAGTCCTTAAATCCCTAAACCCGAAACCCTAAACCCATAATCCCTAAACCCCTAAACCCATAATCCTTAAATCCCTAAACCCGAAACCCTAAACCCATAATCCCTAAACCCCTAAACCCATAGTCCTTAAATCCCTAAACCCGAAACCCTAAACCCATAATGCCTAAACCCCTAAACCCATAATCCTTAAATCCCTAAACCCGACACCCTAAACCCACAATCCCTAAACCCCTAAACCCATAATCCTTATATCCCTAAACCCGAAACCCTAAACCCATAATCCCTAAACCCCTAAACCCATAGTCCTTAAATCCCTAAACCCGAAACCCTAAACCCATAATCCCTAAACCCCTAAACCCATAATCCTTAAATCCCTAAACCCGAAACCCTAAACCCATAATCCCTAAACCCCTAAACCCATAGTCCTTAAATCCCTAAACCCGAAACCCTAAACCCATAATCCCTAAACCCCTAAACCCATAGTCCTTAAACCCCTAAACCCTAAACCCTAAACCCTCAAATTCCTAAACCCACAATCCCTAAACCCCTAAACCCATAGTCCTTAAACCCCTAAACCCTAAACCCTAAACCCTCAAATTCCTAAACCCATAATCCCTAAACCCCTAAACCCATAGTCCTTAAACCCCTAAACCCTAAACCCTAAACCCTCAAATTCCTAAACCCTTAATCCCTAAACCCCTAAACCCATAGTCCTTAAACCCCTAAACCCATAATCCTTATATCCCTAAACCCGAAACCCTAAACCCATAGTCCCTAAACCCCTAAACCCATAGTCCTTAAACCCCTAAACCCTAAACCCATAATCCTCAAATTCCTAAACCCGGGAGCCCTGAACCTGGACATGAACCCCTTGCCTCCGAGCCCTTAATGAAGCTTAGTAGCTACTATTTAGGGTTTAGGGTTTAGGGTTAGGGTTTAGGGTTTAGGGTTTAGGGTTAGGGTTTAGGGTTTAGGGTTTAGGGTACTATACTATCGTAGTAGCCTTTTGCCCTTTTCATTTGAAGGATCCTACTATTTAGGGTACTATATTGGGGTCCCCTATTTTCGGACTTAGTAGCTGAGTGGATACACTTTACGCTTTTTGGGATAATACTGTTGATGGACAAAATCCTGCACTTCCCTTTTTAAGGAGTATACCATAGTTCCCATAGTGTAGAGTCCTTAGGGTCATGCAGGATTTTGTCCATCAACAGTATTACCCACTATAAAACTGAAAGTGTACACGTTCTGGTGCTTATGGACTCAGCAAATAGGTAAGTGCTCTCAGATTCCGGCATTGGAGCTCCGGCTTTAAGGTTTTGGGGTCAGGATTTAGGGGTCTACGGTTTAAGGTTTAGGGTTTAGGGTTCTAGGACCCAGAGTAGGCCCTTATTCCCTTTTTAAGGGATCAGGTTCCCTTATAAGCCCCTTTAAACCAAAAAGGGCACCCTTTTTATTCCGAGGTTACTCTTGGGTTTAGGGTTTAAGGTTTGGGGAATATTAAAAGACATTCTGGGACCTGGAGGGACCCTAAACCCCAACCTCCAAATGACTGCAAGCCTCAAATTCCAGATTTAGGGTTTAGGGTTTAGGGTTTAGCCGACAGTTCTGGGTGCCACAGGAAGGTTTCGACTGCTAGTCAGTTCCGATAAAATCTATAGGAGGTTGTGAGCCACATCAACCTCAGCTGCGCGAGGAACACCGTCACAGGCAACTTCACCCTGAGGAAGAATGATGCAGGCAATGACCAGCTGCGCATCAACGGCTTCCACATTTCGTTGCACAGGCCATTGGCGCAGGCTCTTGCGGAGATCGCTCTGCACAGGACCAGGCTCATGGTGGCCAGCGGCAGCTACAGCCCAGGCTCGCAAGTGGACTGCACAAACATCTGCTGATCGTGATCATCCGTGCACGATGCTGTGAGCCTCTGCACTTGGCATGAGGTTTCGGGGGTCTATCATAGTCCGAATGAATAGGGAGTGTTCGACTATACATAAGGGACGATCCCACTGCTTAATGAAAGAGTCGACATCTTCTGCTTTATGCTTGCAACCCTAAACCCTAACGGTTGATGATAGAAATCCTGCATGACTCAAAGAAGTTTGGATGGACCCTTATCTTTGTAACCTAGTGTTTTGCCAGAGTCTAACGTGAGCAAGGGCCGCAACGGCAGAGCGAGACTTTCGGTTCTTGTGCCTCTGGCAAACGGCTGCGACACAGCATCAGGCCTCAACGGCAGGGGAGGGCCGCGGAAATAGGGTTACAAACCTTTTCCCCCAAGCCCTGCTTGGGGGAAAAGGTTTGTAACCTTATTTCTGGGGGTAGGGGTCGAGGGTTACAGACCCCCCCCCCTCCCCCCGAAGGCAAAACACAAGACCAGGAGGCATACGAATGTGGCGAAATTCTGCACCGACCACCACATTCGCGAAATCGTAGGCTACACTCTAGCAAAACACTTGGTTACAAAGATAAGGGTCCATCCAAACTTCTTTCAACCGCCACTGACCTTAAGGACCCTAAACTGTGGGAATAATGGTGTGTTCCTTATTATGGGTAATGCAGGGTTTATATCATCAACCGTAAACCGTAATCTCTCAACCCTAGGGCTTGCTTTTACACTGCAACCTCAAAGAGAGAGCCAGGCCGCTCAACATGCCCGGGCAGGGTCGCACACGCGTGCGCAATCCAGCGGAGTGCCAGGCAAGGTGGAAAGCCTTGTTAACTCGTGTCCCTAAACCGCCTTTTTTTTGAGGGGGGAGGGTATGTGGGGTTTAGCCTTAACCCCTAGACCCCTGAACCCCCGACCCCTAAAAGGATTTCTTTGAACTCAGACTATTCGCGTTTCTATGCTTGTAGACTTGAGGTCCGGCGAGGGCTTTGGTGTGGCGCAACTTGGGATTTGGATGAAGGGCTTAGTATCGGAGTATGAGTAGTAATTAGTCCTTTTCTGGCGGAAAGGGATGCTGTGCGGTCCCCGGTTGTTGCGCAAGCTTTCAACTTACCCTTGAAGGAAACTAAAAAAAACCGCCCTCTGCGGAAGCCTGGTTCTGCTCCTGAAGGCCCCTCTAAAACCCAACCTTGGCACCCCTTGTATGAAAGTCATGAGCTTAGAAAGTACTTGAGCGCAGGTCCATTACAACTGAAACAGAGTTGCAGCAGTACTAAGGCTCAAAACTCACTAACCACAAACCCAAATTACGATTCAAGCGTATATCATATGTGCCTCCCGACCCGAGTCTTACATATCCGAGTCCTCCTGAAGTATATAAATAAAATGTAGTTTAAACAGGTTTGACATAGGAACAACTTTGAAACAGTACTTGGTAACATGTGCGTCAAAATACTTGTTTACTGTTGTCTTGATGTGTTACGTTAATCTTTTCATTCATTCAGGTATGTCCGTATGTATCTGTCCGTTATAAGATCCAGGGTTTAGAGTTTAGGGCTTGGACGCTTTGCTAGTTAGTAGTAAGGTCGGCAACCTTTAACCTTTTCGATTTCTTCTAATCCCCATAGAATCCAAAAGGGCCGTAAACCCTTAAGCCCTACAACCTCTAAACTCAAAGGGGAAAAGGAGGGACCCTTAATAAGGACCCTTAGGCATTTGCCCTGAATATGGCTATGATATACCAATTATATAGCCCGTTATAGGGTAGGGGTCTCCATTAAGGGTCCCTCCTTTTCCCCTTTGATAAACTGGGGCAGGCAAGTTTGAGGTTGAGGGTCTCCTCTTCACTTCAGACATTGCAAGAGGCGCGGTGTGCCCGCACTCCTGGCTGCGCATACTTCAGCATGCCGCTGCAAGAGAATAACTTCCGGGTTCCTTCCTTCTTTGGGCTTTAGTATAGGGTTTTGGGGTTTGGGGTTTGCGTTTTCCAGGGGCTTTGAAGCCCAAAATCTGAACCACGGGGTTGGGGCTTAGCCTGCTTATGCGTTACACAGACAAAGGAAGCAGCCGGTCCAAAGCCATCATTAGCTTTCATCACTGCAAGATTCGAGATTCCTCGCATGATGTCGCCCTTGACACCTCCCCACAGGGGCCATTTATAATCATTTATACTTCCATTGTGGATATAGGTCCTTAAGGCCGAAATCAGCATGGTCTTTTGGGACCTATATCTGGAACTCTGTTTGTTCCAGCAGTGCACAGGCACGAGTGAGAAACACGTTGGCACATGAGTCGTCCCCCGCAGGCACATAGCCCGGACATGCATATCTATGTACCTGTATCTAGCCCCGGTGAGTGCGTTTCGGTTGTGGCACAGTTTGTTGGTACTAGTGGCGAGGAATATTCCAATGCCGGCGACACGTAGATATACGGCACATCAACAGCCGTGGCCCATTCGTTTCGTTGAGTGATCAATGAACAGTGTTCACGGCAACGCCATCAGGAAAGTTTCATCCGGATCCTTTTGGTTCCAGAGGAGACAGGACAAGTTAAGATTCGATCGGTCTTCAATGCAAAGCCCAAGCCCCCGACATGCATCAACAAGACTTATCATTCCTGGCCCTTGCCGAGGATGACCACTCACAACGGCTTGAAAGGCTGCCACCTGCAGGCAGGCTATGGGAGTCGCCGTTCCCGGTTTAGGGTTTAGGCTTAGGGTTGAGATGCGATCATGAAACTCAACGTAACTCATTGTGGGAGTTTCCGAAAGAGAGTGTAAGACATTACGGGCCCCATATTTTCCAGTCAAAATGCTGTTTTCTAAGAGTTTTCATTACAAAAACTTACAATCGTCATAATTTGCATACTAGTGGTTTTCAAGCTTACTTAACCCTGTTGCTCTTGATGCCTGATATGGGAAGTACTTTTCCAATCAGCATGGGATGCACTTGTGACTACCTTTCATTGTGGAGTCTCATGAAGACTAATTATCCGATAAATCAATGCCACTTCAATCTTGTGGTTGTTCTTTGTGTCTCATAGTATAATCTTGCAGATAAATGAGATACAATGCGTCTGCGAAACCGTGCATTTCTCCACCCTTGAATGATGTACAAGACCGGTCAATCTATATAACTTTTGCATATCAACGTAAAGAATCGCTTACATATCCCACCGGTTTTTGGAGGCCCCATCATGTGCATGGTAACATATGATTTTGGATATAGACGTCCAGCATATACTGTAGCATGACAAGTTGAGTTTGGCATCATACAGGCAGGTTGCTCAAACAGTTCCCACCGTCTCAAGCTGTATACATGCAGGCGGTCAACTGGATCGTGTTACCGGATCCATTTGCATATGTACATATATACATATATGTACATAGATGTCTTTGTTACATTCAGTTTCGGTACCGTTTTTCGTATGAATGCTAGCTTGTTTAGTGCAACCTCCTTCAAAGGCGTATTTATTGTTTGCGGTTATTGTTGCATTGGTTGTCCTTGTTTCGGAGCTCCCAGTCCAATAATTTGTCCAGTATTTGGAGCTGTGTGTGCGGAATTGTGTATTTCAATTGCAACAGCTTCTCACAGAAGCCAACCCAGAAAACTGCAAACCTACGACCTTCGAAGACAATCATCGCATGGATGTTGCTGTATACATCCTGACAGCTACAATGCTGGCTTATCCAGATTAGTGATCATTGCGGCTGAAGCCCACGAGCCCCCAAAGGATAAGGATATAATTTAGTTACTATACTTTCCAAGGAGATGGTGCTTTGCTATCATTATTGTATATGCAGACATATGGAGATCCACCTGCAATATTAATCATTTTCGCTGTCTTGTTGCTCATACCATCTAGTCATAGGTCGACTGCCGTGAAAACACATTATTTGCACATGCACACACGAACATACACCGACACGCACATACGATTGTCATCAGCTGTAAACAATACCGCTTGTTGTATCTATGCTGCAGGCAATGCACCTGTATGCCGCAACCATTCTAATATGGTCTTGTTAAAGCCCATGACGCACTTCATCGTGTGTCTTATGGATATCTCCGTAAACTAAATCCTGTTACCCAAGCAGAAGTATAATAACTATACTATGCCTAAAACCAACTTTCTAATATGTGACATGAACAAGAAGTCAAGTATCTCTTGTGGTGGAAGTAAACATGGCAGACTACAGCATGCCAGTTTTGGCAAGAGTAATGAAGCCGTCATAATGAGGCACCCAATCGGCAGTTGAACAGGATATTCGCCGCATTCCTTCAATGTAAAAGGCATGTTATGTGTTGAATATGGCCATATCAACATAGAACACCAGGAAATCTCTTCAACATATCGTTATGATAATGAGCCATCCGTATAGATCATCGCAGTAGGTGTCCTTATAAGATGCCCGCATCGTTCGGGCTTCCCCCTTTACGCCTTCCGGCCGCGCGGGCAAGCGGGATTGCACCATATATTGGTTAAACCCCTCGGTAGACCTTTCTAAAAGCCCGGAGACTTATTCTCACACATAAACCCAATCTCCCATGAAGTTACAACAGACACAGCTAGGTATGAATAGGTCGCAAGATGCACGCAGCATCTCATGACACATATCTTCTCTATGAGATTTGACTTCGATGTCCTTGTGCATCCCGTGAGCTTGCCAAGCTCGTATGGCATCTCCCTAGCACCTCATGCTACATGTTTACGAGTGTGTTGCGCCATATCATTCTATGATGCGCATGGTTCACGTGAAGATTGATACTTCACCATGACGTGCTCATGAGGTACATTGTTTCCATATCTAGCCAGTTTTGGTATAATGATATTCAGATTCCTGCGAGTAGCCGATCCTGATCACAGGAACATGAACCAATAAGGATTTCCAGTTGTAAACTCCCCGACAGAGCCCACCATGTTGCTCGAACATAGCACAAGTGGAATATTCAAACTCCCGTTTTCATGCACCCATAAGATAGTCGGATTCGGATCCCTTACATCGCAACCTGTCAATGAAAGGCGAAGACAGTGTTTGTTGTATATGTTATCGAGGAGACTGCTCATACATGTATCTGACATCCGACATATATACCGACCATATGTCCTCGCATATGCTACCACATCATATGCGACGTCAAACATTGTTGTTATCGCTTGACTACGATAGACCCTTCAACTGGTTGTCCACCTGGCATTGCTCAGGCAGTGGTTGTGTCGTAAGTTCGCATCCGTCGAATGTATGTTAATGTAAGGTCTCCTCGTCATATGATGTCATCAGTCATAAATAGTTTATCATCTTTGTGAGATGTAATCTCAGATAGCGACTTTTCTATACGCAGTAAGTCTCTGAGGTCTTTTATAGATTCTATAGATGTTTATCTGGTTAGTTTGTAATCTTATTGATCTTAATATCCGGCATAGAGTATCTACTCACTTGTAGTGAGGCTTGCATGGGCTAAGGACACCAGGTTTAAATCATGTGCCTCTTGGTTGGTGTCCGCTCCCGCAGTATGGCGCACCATGGCGCTGGCTGTCGCTTGGTTTGCTGTCCCCGTGGGGGGGGGGGGGGGGGGGGCAGCCACCAAAAAAAAAAAAAAAAAAACTGGCGGGGGCGGGGGGGCAGCAGCGCCAAAAAAAAAAAAAAAATGATTTGGATTTTATTTTTTTTTTTTGGCGCTGCCCACCCCCCCTCCCTCCAGTTTTTTTTTTTTTTGCCGCCGCCCCCCCCCCCCCTCCGCCTTCCCCTTAGCAGCAGTATTCTCGCCCTTCGGGCCTAAACCAGCCAAGAAGTGAGTCAAACCTCCTGCTCTATAGTCACGTCGACAATTGAAACAAGCACATGTATGGGTATACGTGCAAGTATCCTATTTAAGAATATGCATATGAGGATAACGATATCGTGTGCACGAGTGATGTTGCTTCAAATCTGAAGCAAACCAAAAACATGAAAAACAGTAATGCTGTAAATATGGGGCCCGTAATGTCTTATTTTCTGTTCCGAAAATAAGGGGTTCCTTATTTTGGGGCCCTTATAAGAAGGATCCTACTATTTAGGGTACTGTATTAGGGTCCCCCATTTTCGGAAACTCCCATGTGGTCAGCGCTTGAAAAATGATGAGGCAGATTGCAAAAAGCACTAATCGGTAGCTGTCAGGGCCTCACAGATACAACGGTAAATATTTCTGCTCACAGACTAAACACAATGTTCAGAGTCGCTGTGTTGTACGGAATAGTGGGATAGCGAAGCTGATTTCTACATGACAGTGGCCAGAGCAGTCATGGTGTTAGCTTTGCCGTGCCTATAGTCTCCTTTGTAGTTATTTCACCTTTCAAGCAGGAGTACCGCGCACGACTGATCCGGGCACCTTCCGGTGCTGTGGCTGGTCCAGCGGATTGTGATCAAGAGGCCATCCCTTGCCTGAGACGAGTTTCGAATCTTGAATAAGTTGCCATTAAGATCATTGCTTAGGGCTTAGGGCTCCTGATTTACGGTATATAGTGTCACTAGTCACTAGACAAGTCGGACTGAGAGTGGCGAATAGTAGGGTTTGGGCTGTGGCTTCGGGTTTGGATGCAGGGGTTGGCGTGATCCACAGGTTTAGAGCGCTCCAGCACGCCCGAAACCCTAAACCGTCACACATCTAACCCCGCGACAGCAAGATCCTCGCTAAAGGTATCCTCCAAAGGCAAGGACCCCCCACCTCCAATATATCTCGGCTTGATCTTACATAGAAGCCACATACCGAAGCCGATGTCAGAAAAAAACCCCAAACCCTAAACCCTAAACCCTAAACCGCAACATCCCCTACTTCAACAGGCTCCAAGGGTGGGATGAAGGATGGTGGGGCAATCCCAAAATCCTTGTACTGGGGATCCTTAATCCTGCTTACCTTCATCCCACCGTCTGATGCCTCCAACTACTCAGTTCTCCGATACCAAGCCTCTTTCACTTTTTGGGTTGTGATAGCTTACTTGGAAGGGCAGGGGACTTAGTAAGTAGGTTATAAGTAGAATTACAAGTGCCCTAAATGGAGTTACCCCAAGTATAACCCTACTTATAACCTACTTACTAAGTCCCCTGCCCTTCCAAGTAGTCTCCGACAGTGTATTGGCTCGGTTTTCCATTGCAATCCTAAGCTCGCAGAGAGTCTCTAGGTTTAGGGCTGAGGGATTAGGGCAACATTACCATAGAGCTACGGTCTAAATCCTAAACCTGAAACCCTAAACCTGGAGAACTTCCTAACAACTCTGAGGCTATGAAACGCCAGGCCCTGGAGAAGAAGGACTAGTGCCCTCTTCGCGATGGCATTGATGGAGACCCTCTCAACAAGGGAGAAGGGCAGGGCGAAGCTGGCGACGAGTGACTGTACCACAGGGGCCTGAATCATTACCAATACTGTTTTGGGGGGTTCCTTATTATAACTATAGTATAATGGGCGCCCCTAAACCTTATTCTAATTATTCAGGCCCCCAAAATTGTCCAAAGCCCGGCAGGGTAGCAGTAGTAGTAGTAGCAGTAGTAGTAGTAGTAGTAGTAGTAGTAGTAGTAGTGGTGGTGGTGGTGGTGGTGGTGGTGGCCCGAGATGAGGTGCTATGCGGGCGAGAGCGACGTGCGCAGGCTGAAAACCTTGGTCACGCTGCTCCGGCTGCCGGACCACGGAGACGGAGACGAGATCACTGTTGCAACAAACGGGCCTCATATAGGGTTGATGGGGCTATTGTTGATGGAACGTGCCAACTGTAGCCATGCTGCTGTGCATGACTTTCAGGCAGGCCGAGAGAGTGCGCGGCTGCTTTCCTGAGGAAGATGGATGAATCAGCAGCCTTTAAGGCTCATCATCCTGTTTTTCCAGCGCTGGGTCGGAGTTTCTCGAGCGGAGCGCAATGGTCGGGCGACTGGATGCCGCGCCTAACCGTTGGCTCCCATCACTTCATGAAAACCCTTGTATGCGTCTGCCACCGGGTTTGCATGCTCTTCCTGCATGGGCGGAAACAGGAAGCAGATTCACAAAAGAGGCAAAAAGCCCTCCCCTTCAAAGCAGCGGCGAGACCACTGTCGCAGGAGACGTCACGCGGAAAACCGGTTCCCACGGGAGGAACCCTGGCACCACCAGCTTTGTCTTGCGATTCAGTCAGTGCTTATCTGCGGAGTCTTAGAGCCGTTTGCCTCGGCACTTGGTGAGTTTGGCGCCAGAAGTGATAAAGGGCGAAGCCGGGACTTGTACCCACTTCCGTTGCTGAAAGCCTGGCCAGAGCACGTGCAGGTGGAGAGTCAATTCCTGGATGTTGCCTTGGTATTTACAAATGCTAGCCTCATCAGCCTCAATGCTTTGTGGAGCGACCTGAAAGCGGCTCGCGTGCCGGCCTGCACCCAACGGCCCGCTACTCGTGCGCAGCTGGAAACCCAACTGCACGTGGCCTCGCGGGCAGTTCGACTGCTGTCCCGTTTAAGTGAGCTTCCGCAGTGTGCTTTCTCCTGGCGAGGTGCTTTTAAGCAGTTTGAAGAGGGAGTTTCGCAACAGTACGAGCCTCTGCGCGGAGATGCAGTGGATTTGCCGTCACGGGCTGGCACTTGCAATCCTTTGCCGCGTTTACCAGACAGCCTGCAGCGGCCTCTGTGCAACCCCGCGGAAGTTTTCCCAAGTGATGTTGGGGATGTTTCAGCATTGGGATTTGCCAGCGGCCATGCCGAGAGCGAGTACTTGTTGCTGGTTGCACGCGAGCTTGCGTGTGGCAAGCTTCGGCTGCGCCGTCGAGTGTTGGGACAGGCTGCTGTTTTTGCGGCCAAGAAAACAACTCCTGGCAGGCAACGCAAGATTTGGAACGGCTCTCAGCTATCAAACTTAGCGGCGCCGCCGCCAAAGCCAGAAAGGTTGGCGAACCCGTCCTCTTTCCTCGACATACATGTGCAGGAGTCGGAGACCGTGTATTATTCAAAGCGAGATGCAGAGACTTTCTTTGATGTTTTGCAGGTTCCTCCCCCTCTACAGCCGTGGTTTGGCCAACAAGCTGTTTCTGCAGATAATGTTTGTCGGCAGAGCGGATGGAACCTCACGGAGCTGAGTGTTTTTGTCGATGATCTCGACGGAGTGGACATCAAGCCGGAGGAGTACCTTCATCCTGTGCATGCTGTCTGGCCGATGGGTTTCAGTTGGTCTTCAGCTGTCGCTCAAAGCACTACGCTTTCTGTGGTGTCCGCCGCGGGCATCCCAATCGACAATGTTCTCAGCTTGGACCATCCGCCGCCCGCTGACCAAGCCGAGCTGTGTTTGGTGGCCACAGATGACACGGTCTTTGTGCACAGAGACATTGCCCGTGGTAGCAACACTCTCCAGCGCTTTGACGAGGCTATGTCTGCAGCTGGGATTCCACGAAAAGAGGCCAAGGACATTTCATTGGCCGAAAGGATCACAGCTCTGGGCTGTGAGGTGAGCAGTCGACCTCACTTTGTGGAGCCTGTTGCGTCTAAGCTGTCGAGCTGCATATGGGGTGTCTTGGACGTTCTGGCTTCAGGAGTGGCCTCCCCACAGGCTGCCCTTCGGTTGCTGGGACTCCTTCAATGGTTTTGTCTGCTGCAACGTCCGGTTTTTGCGGTCTTCAACAAGATCTACGAGTTCACACGACGCGAGCCGAGTACACGGGTGGTGCAACTGCCTTTGGCCGTCAAGCAGGAGCTCGCAGTTGTTTTTGGTCTGCTCCCCCTACTGGCGCAGCGTTTAGACAGGCAGTACCATGACGAGTTGCTGGCTTGTGATGCAGCTCCAGAGTATGGTTTTGGGGTCTGTGCCGCAAAATGCCCAGCCCAATTGATGCAAAGGCTGGGTTGTCTTGCAGAAAGGCGTGGCGATTACGTTCGCTTGCACAAGCCGCCAGGTGGTGACACAGAGCTTCCTCGTAGAGGACTTCCTCACGGCTTAACTTTGAAACAAGCAGCTTTCAAGAACGTGATCAGCGCCCGGGCTCGTTGCAAGGCGCACTCAAGCGTGCTGGAGGCCCACGGCTTGCTTCTGGCTCTGAAGTGGCTGTTGCGAAACCGTGCAAAGCATCACAAGAAGATCGTGATTCTTGTCGACGCCAAGGCTGTCCTCGGTGCTGCTGCTAAGGGCCGCACCTCTGCCCCATGTTTACGTGGTGCCATACGGAGTGTGGCTGCGCACAGCCTGGCCGGAGATGTTTTGCTGCGACTTTTATATGTGCCTTCCGAAGACAATCCAGCGGATGCTCCTTCAAGAGGACACTGTGGTCCTGCAAAGTGCAGAGGCTGCCATGAGTGATGCCAGCTTGGAAATAAGTTTCACAGTTTCTTTGGTTTTGACATACTGACGTTGGCACAGACGCTCTGCCACAGGTTTCCGGACGCAGTACGATCAGTGCTTGACGGTGTGGTTAAGGCACGGCTATCGGCAGCTTGGACAAGCTGCGCGTTGATTCCTCTGGCTGTGGGCTCCCGCTGTCTGGTCCAACAGCGGGGTTTTTATTTGTCAGTGCATGGGTTTTGGGCTTTTCACATATCTCTATTCGTCTGCCATTTTTGATGCAACCAGTCGCTGGGGTATGGGGAGTTTGTGAACATCGGTCACAAGGGGGCCTTTCAGCAAATTCCTGTGCTGTGCTGTGTGCCGTCTTTTGATGCTCTAACTTCCTGTGCCCTCCAGTCAGAAAAGGCTGCAACGGCGACTCGTCAGCAAGGGAACGAGAGTGGTCTCAGCAACAATGATGGGGCTATTGTTGATGGAACGTGCCAACTGTAGCCATGCTGCTGTGCATGACTTTCAGGCAGGCCGAGAGAGTGCGCAGCTGCTTTCCTGAGGAAGATGGATGAATCAGCAGCCTTTAAGGCTCATCATCCTGTTTTTCCAGCGCTGGGTCCCCGCCCATCCCTCCCTAATGGGGAGTTTGTGAACATCGGTCACAAGGGGGCCTTTCAGCAAATTCCTGTGCTGTGCTGTGTGCCGTCTTTTGATGCTCTAACTTCCTGTGCCCTCCAGTCAGAAAAGGCTGCAACGGCGACTCGTCAGCAAGGGAACGAGAGTGGTCTCAGCAACAATTAGGGTTTAGGGGTTTCGGGTTTAAAAGGTTTAGGGTCTAGGGTTTAAGGTTTTTCAGGGACTCCTATGCTTCGACAATTTTTTTCGGTTTTGGAGGGTCCAGGTAGACACTCCGAGGCCACTGCGAAACACGCCAGCTGTGATACTGCCCCTCCCCACCCCGCTGCACCCTAATGAGCACCTAAAACCTGAACCCTGGGCTTCAAATGCTAAATCGCAGGCACTTCTTGCATCCGCACTTGGCGTGCAGTCGCCGGTGCCGAAGGCACCTGCCGCAGCCCAGCAGAAACCAACATCTCCACAGGCGCTTTGGGGTTTGGTGCAAAGGGTTTAGGATGCAAGCTCCCAAAACTTCAATACTCACCTTGTTAAGGACATAGATAAAGGAAAGTATATGAAGGAGGACCATCAAGCATGTAGGTCTTCCCAGGGTCCAGGTAAACCTGAACTCAAACACTTTAACTCAAAACCTCGCTACGACTACGAACCTTCAACTCAAAACCCTAATGCGGAGGCCGGAATAAAGACATTATCCAATTTGGGTTCCGTATTATCGTTGCACTTACAGTATCATTTACACCCAAATCCCTATTCAAGTTGTCCAGAACCATATGTTAGACACTTCAACACACCGAACCAAGCGTCGCCAATATCCTGACACAACCGGCCGTCAATGGGGTGCGGAGTTTCAACAACCCTATAGATCACCTTATACGGGCTGTTGGGGCGACCTCATGAACATTGGAATAAACCCTGCAAGAACATTAGAATGGAGACCTTATAATTAGAACTTACGCTAACCCAGCTGTGGCTTTCATTAGGGTTCTGCCGGGGTTCGTTCTGTAAGACTTCAAAGCCAGTTCTCAGCGTTCTATACGCGGTTCAGTGATGCTCGAACAAATTTTAGGATTGTTTGGAGCTCTTTGTGTCTGCTTGTAAGTGCGACCTCCTGACGGAACTAGTGTTGAGGCAATGTGTCAGAGGTTTGGGGCTTGGGGTTTAGTGTCTATGGCAAAAGATAGATAGATGTTAGTTTAATTTAGGGCTGCACAGTTTATGTACGTGTGACTCCCTAGCCACCCCAAAAAAACCTCAAAGCCCAATCTCTAACCTCTTAGAGACTGTGTGTTCTAATTCTAATTACGGGTCATAGCAGGTTTGTGCAGAGGTTCAGAATGTACGGTTGCAAGAGGGCTCATGATATCTATACATATATATATATACATATACATGCACAAATGTACACATACATACAAAAATACAGACAGACATACATACATACATACATATTAATGTATATGTATATTACCGGGTTGTATAAGTGCTATGCAGCAATTGAAGCCGGAGCTGAGAATTGAAGTAATTGTGGGCATTGAACCCTAAACACACAAAGTCCTAGAAAACCTTACAAACGGTCTACCACATGTAGAACACCTTCTAACTTCAAACCTGAACCCTTGAATTTTATAAGAATCCATATAGCACCCTTGTGTTATCTTGACACCAACATTACAAAATCACGCTTCGTATTGAATTGCTTTACGTAGAGACTTCTAAGCCCATTTGCCTGAGGAACAAGCCCTAAATCATCGTAGAGATCACGCTATAACTTGGAGTATGTTCCTTTCTTACAGGACCTACAAAGCTCTATGGAACCCTGCAAAGCCTCATACAACCCGGTTGAATTCCTATCAGAAAGAGCCGCAGACACATATTTCACTTATTGGTTTGTTTTGGAGTCTCTGGGTGACGTAGGTCTTTGGGCCCCAGGTGCGAGCACCTGAGCCTGCTCGGACTCGCCAGCAGGCGTGGTACAGGGGTCCGTGGTATAGCAGGGTAGATAGATTACAATTGCGTTGAGGGTTTACCTGGTGATCCAGAAATCCAGGGTTTTGGGGGGTTATGCCCTGTGGCCAACAACCCCCCATTTTGTAGGTTGGGGTTTGCAGGTAGACTTCAGGGTTTAGGATCGGGTAGTAGTGCAAATCATAGTCTGATAGGGATCATAACATTAAACAGAGTTAGAGTTAGAGACTTGTTTGCTAGTAGAGTCAGGTAACCTATACCCTGTTATAGCTGCTATATACATTGCCTAAACTGGTCCCCATATGTTAAGCCTAGGCTTTCGCCTAGGATACTGGACAGGTACGTATAGGGGTCGGCAGAATGAGCTATTCGGGTCTCCAGGCTCCAATGGCCCAAAGTAAGTACGTACTATTGGTGCAGACCCCCAAAAATTTTACGGTTTATGAGGGCCTGAAGCAACCAACGTATTGTAGGAGCCTCGCAACATGAGTTTATGCCGGCATGTTGCGAGGCTTTTCGTGCTCGGGATTGTCTTGGTCGATGGCACACCGCTGACAGCTTCGGTTTCAATCTCCCGGAAGAAAGCAGCGCACGAGAGCGTCGGGGGGTTCATTCAGGTCGTGGCAGCATTACACAGGCTTTCTTGCACTCCATACTGTCTCATGGACTGTGGTGTGCTCGGATCCACGATGGCGATCCTGCCGGAATTCATGTCGTGGTCGGAATGGTTGCCATGTCATTCGCAACCCCATGCTCATGTGGTCCTTCTGATCCAGGAACATGACAGGCTAACGCTGGAAGTGAACGGTTGAACAAGAGACCGCAACCCTGTGCACATCGCATGTTCGCGGTGCTTGTGCTCCTCGAAACATTCGCCTCACTTTGAGCCTTTTGCCACCGTGAATGCATCGGCCTCACCCACGCTTCTTGTCGAGCGAGCTATGAAGTTCGGCTTGAGATCGAGAATTGAAACGGGGAGGATGGGTCGCTATGACCGCAGGCAGAAACTTCATAGTAGAGTGCGAGAGCCCCTGTGTAGTCCTCAAGTTTTTCGGTAGTACCCTTTTGCCCTTTTCGTTTTGGGGTCTTCTAGCTAAAGCCGAATCGTAGTAAATACCTTAAATAGGGTACCCCTAGCAATTAGTACTAAGGGGGTACTGGGGAACCTAGATGCCAGTTCCCAAAGGATACTGGACAGTTAAGTAAACCCAGAACCCTAAACTGCGGGACGTAGGTCACATCATTCGGGACTTTGTGATTTAAGGCCTACCCAGAGTAACCAACGTACCTCAAAAGGGATATGTGACCCGGAATAGAATTGGTACATTCACTGTTCTTTAATGTACCCTGGTTGCTCTACACTCCCAAACCCGAACCCTAAAACCCGAAGCCCTAAGTATTCCGTGATTCAGGGGTTTGGGCCCTCTGGATAGCTGTAAGAGGGGCCTTGGTTCGCTAAGGAGATTGGGCTAGTATGGGGGCGTGCGAGTTTAGGGTATAATTATCTTCGAATAGTATGCCGAAAATGCCGCTCGGACTATTAGAGGCCGCTGTATTGTAGGTTTGTCTTCTTGTCTTCTCTTTGCAATGCACAGCCGGCCATTCCTCATGCCAGCAAGGAGGCGAAGTAGCTGCTGAGACTAGTAGTGACTAGTGGCATTCAAGCGGCAATTGACGGGTTTAGGGTTTAGGGTTTCGTCTAAGTCAACTTTACTTGCCTGGGCGAGGGCCTCGATCTGAGCTGAAACGTTAGATCTGGGTAGTAGCTACTCTGTAACACTGTCTCGTTGCAGGCCCCCACGCCACCGCCGCCACAGGCACGGCAGGCTTGAGGGAGTATGGGCTACTTAGGCCATGATGGTGGAACGATGGTTTGAGAATAGAATATGTTGATAGCTAGGATCACAGGCCGCAGTGAGATGTTCGATGCGTTTGCAGAGCTTCGTTGGCCTTTCCGTCTGCCGGCTTCTTTTGAAAGGTGTGGGATTGCATTTCCTCGTTATAGGTCTGTTGGGGGTGATGGGCGGAGGTCTCTTCATAGGACGCCAAACATTTTTCGGCAGCAGTGCAGAGTGCCCCCAGAGACCATGACATCGCATAGTTACTTGCTAGGTCCTCTGGGGGTGAAGGCCGAGGCAATTTCGCAGAACTTCAGACATTTTAAAGTGCAGAGTGCAACCCAGAGACACTGACATCGCAGGTTGCCATGACTGCTTTCATAACTTTCGACAACCGAAGCAGGGCCACATGATGGAGAAGCGATAAGTAAGTACCAACATCACACCTCAGGGCTCCCTATGGTAATTAGTTAAAAACTACGATAAAAAGACATCCTAAACCCTATTCTAATGATTAAGGAATTTAGGTCGCTGCATTACACGCCCCTGCAAGTAGGCTTTGCAACGAGCGCGGCCGGCAGTCGTTGACGCACCCGGTCCTGCAGCGGGCCTCAATTCAGAGAACTACTGCTTCGATGGTGTGTGGGTTTATGAGTTTAGGGTTTGCAAGGTTTGGGGTTTCGGGTTTAGGGCTGTAGGGCTTGGGTTTAGGGTGGGATCCTGATTATAAGGACCCCAAAATAAGGTACCCCTAATTTTCGAAAACTCCCATATCTTTGGATGAGCCCTGTATGACAGCGTTCGGAGCGTTCGACATCTGAGTTTAGGGCTCTAGGGGTTTTAGGGTGTTAGGATTTGGGTTGTTTCCTGGGATGTTCGGCGTCAAGGCCCAAAGCTTTCAGATTGGTACATAGGGCTCGAGAAAGCTTGTTGGTAGTGTTTGTTCTGCTGTTACATCTTCCTTGTAGGCATTTACCCTAGTACAGAAGACTCCTTGATTTAGAGAGGGGATATTCTAATTATGAAGTTAGAGATCTTCCTTAACTACAGGTTACTGCGGTTTCTGTCTGAAAAAGAACCTTGTGCGCTGAATCGCGCTGAAGAGCAAGAAGTGCCAGAAACCCTAACCTGACCCCGAGGGTCAGGGTTTGGGGTTCAGGCTGTTTTGTGGGTGGCACTTCAGGAAAAGAGGATTACGAAAACGCCCGTAAACCCGACAACCCGAAGCCTTAAACCCTGACGCCTGGGACCTTTAATCCTTAAGCCCGAATCTCGAAACCCTTACCCCCAAACCCCAGACCCGAAACCCTATCTTTTCATTGCAGGTTCCTGGACGGGTTGCTTTCGGGGATAACATACATCTGGACCCCGCATCCAAGACCCAGCTTTGCTTCAGGGTCTGAATGGAAGGATGTGTATGTTTAATCCCTACGAAAGGGGATGTAGGCCTCCAACGTGGGTGTTCAGCGTGAGTGCCGTGGCTGATGAGGTTTTATGCTGTTTTCAGGATCGGGGCAAGATGTAGTTGGCGGAAATACTGGAAATGCTCATCCCAAGCATGTTCCCTGCCCTATTATCCAAGGGCTCTGATGCTCTAGAATCCAGTGCTCTAGAATCCAGAAGCCATTTGTAATCCGAACCGAACCCTCCCAAGACCCCCAAACCCGAAAACACCAAACCCTAAACCCCCTACACCCTCCTTTGACTCAAATAACCTACCTTTTTCAGGATTCACATGAGGAAACGATATTAAGGAACCCAAAAAAGGTAGGTTTCTTAGGGCCCAGGTAAACCCCAAACCCTAACGCCCAAAGCATCAGGCATCGCCCAGGCCGCAGACGCCTGACCTGCGAGCCGGGCCTGTTTGCTCTTAAGGATTACGTTTAGGGTATTTAAGGATTACGGTTTATAGGGTCGAGGGTTTAGGGTTTACGATATAGGCTATAGGGTTCAGGGTTTCTGGGGTGTAGGGATTAGATCCTTAGTTTGGGAATGTAGTTGGATGGGGTTTTGTGCTATATTGCCGTGTAATCTAAGTACATGGGAACCGTACATCCCAAGGTTCAGGGTTTACCGAGTGTTGGGTTTAGGGTTTAGGGAGGGTTCAACTGAAGGTCGCAGCTAGCATCAGAAAAGCTGCTTGTTCCGAACCCTAGCGCAGCTGTCATATGAAGACTTCGCAAGTCCTCCAACATGGCCGGCGCCACAGATCGGCTTCTCCCAGCTAGCCGGCACCTTGGACAAGTTTTTCGTAAGCTTCTCCATTCTAGACTGCGAATCCTTTATTCGTAACAATTACTTCCGGACCATCTGCTTTTGGCAGCTGAACAGAGCCTGGGTGAAGGAATACTCTTAGAACTGTGTCGGTAACAGCAACACATCTACTGCCATGCTTGAGATCAGACTGTTTGCTGCAGGAACGAATTAGAGTCTCTTTAGGAATTATTTTGTATTTTTGTTCATATAAACCCGTGAGAACATTTTAAAAGCAAAAGTTTTATTGTGGCTCTAAGGCTGGTATAGGTTCGATCATGTGGAGAGGATGGAAATGCACGAGCGCGAGCGCTCTGGGCCAGCATGCCCCGACGGCTTGTTTAGGGCTTTAGGGTTTAGAGTTTGGGGTTTGGTTATTACTAGGTAGGGCTTTGGGACATTTTATATTTTCCCTTATTGGGCTCAAGAGGATCTTATTTACTAATATATTTCAAAAGCTTTAAAAGCCCTACCTAGATTATTATGAGAAGCAGGCCTCAAGACGGTGGCTGCTGGGACCAGCGAATCCTCAGTCTCCTGAAAAGCTGGCCGCGGCTTTGCAGCGTCTGTCAGGGATCGGAGTTTGCCTGCTGCAGATCAGAGCATCCCTAGCACTATCCGTCACGGGTTGTCTGATTCCGGCAGGTTAAACCCTAAACCCTAAACCCTTCAGAAGGGGACGCCGTGGACGCTTGTTTCTTCCTTGTCGGTTGTGTTCCCAGCCGGTGCCCTGACTTAATGACTTAATTTTTTTAAGTCATTAAGTCAGGGAACCGGCTGGATCCAAGATCCAAGATTGCAGGAAAAAGTTTCTTGGATCCATCTTGGATCCAGCCGGGGCCCTGACTTAATGACTTAATTTTTTTAAGTCATTAAGTCGGGCCCCGCCCGGATCCAAGATGGATCCAAGAAACTTTTGTCTGCAATCATGGATCTTGGATCCAGCCGGGGCCCTGACTTAATGACTTAATTTTTTTAAGTCATTAAGTCGGGGCCCTCCCGGATCCAAGATCCAAGATTGCAGGAAAAAGTTTCTTGGATCCATCTTGGATCCAGCCGGGGCCCTGACTTAATGACTTAAATTTTTTAAGTCATTAAGTCGGGCCCCGCCCGGATCCAAGATGGATCCAAGAAACTTTTGTCTGCAATCTTGGATCTTGGATCCAGCCGGGGCCCTGACTTAATGACTTAAATTTTTTAAGTCATTAAGTCGGGGCCCTCCCGGATCCAAGATCCAAGATTGCAGGAAAAATTTTCTTGGATCCATCTTGGATCCAGCCAGGACCCTGACTTAATGACTTAATTTTTTTAAGTCATTAAGTCGGGGCCCTCCCAGATCCAAGATGGATCCAAGAAACTTCTTTCTGCAATTTTGGATCTTGGATCCAGCCGGGGCCCCGACTTAACGACTTAAGTTTTTTAAGTGTTTAAGTCGGGGCCCCGGCTGGATCCAAGATCCAAGATTGCAGAAAGATGTTTTTTGGATCCATCTTGGAGCCGGGGCCCCGATTTAAACACTTAAGTTTTTCCGAATCTTTAAATCGGGGCGCGTGGCTCTCGGAGCGGGTCCAAGAATTTTTGTTTCTGCAAATGTTGGGTCTCGGACCCAGGGGGCCCAGCATTGCGTCTGTCGGCCACATAACGGAAACCTCAATGGAATTCCACCTTTCCACATGTGCTGCGTCCAAAGCCACAGAGCTTTGCACATGTGGAGATGTGGAATTCCATTGGGCTTTCCATATTTCCAAACCTGTTGACCTTAATTCTGCAGAGCTCAGGATCATAGGGCTCCCAATAATTATGTACTATAGTCTATTCCACCAAACCAGACTACAGGTGTGCCGCTGGTATACTATAGTAGCCATTTGTTTTTACACCATTGCGACTATGCAGCACTGTAACGTCCAAGGTTATCCTATATTGCGTTGGTGCTAGACTAGGCTATGTTTGAATGTAGTAAGTTGCACTACCATATACCAAGCCCCTTTGTGCTATGCTGGATTGCACGATACCGCATTGCATTGCATAGCAGTCGACACAGTACCACTCAATATTTGATAGTTGATCGTCATCTATGCTCGAGTTTACTGTACTGGGTTTGCCCGTATTGAAAGGTACTACATTGCACTTTGCTATACTAGACTGCATTACACCATACTAGATTTTGGCGTCAATGCTTATCTTTAATACATTGTACTATGCTACGCTCTAATAACCTAAATTGAAACATTGTATATCATATCATATGCATAGCCGATACAAGCAATTGAAGGCCCTTCGATTAGTCCAGTGAAAGAAGATTAGCCTAATGGGAAGTCGAACTCGTGATTTTATTCAGTTTACTCATCGTATACGTTGACATAACACATTCACTACCAAAGAAAGCACAGCCTCAATTCGTACTTGCGATATACCCCGCCATTTTGGCACCGAGAGTACTGAGCGCAAATACCCTGTGGTGTCGACCCCGAGCCTTGTAAGTGGATATGCGGTGTGCATGGTACCACATTCTTCGGTTCATGCACGCAAATCGCTCTTTCTATGACCTATGCTCGTGCTTTATTTAGTGAACTAGAACTGACGGCAGAATAGTACACTAGGCTCCTGACTATAATTCGCTATACTATGCTAGCGCACTATACCTTGCTATATCATGCTATGCTCTACTATACCCTCCTAAAATAGTAAACATAGTAAACAGGGCCATGCAACAGTGTATTTTCCTACACCATTCTGCGGTAGTGCTATACTAGACTATCGTATCCCATATAGTGTATGCTATACCACACTGCAATATAGCGTCAACACTACAATATGCTATCGTGCACTTTACTGCCAATGTCATATCACAACATATTGTAATACACTAGACTAGAACATAAGGCTGATCTCTGTCTTCTACCTTCGACCTACAGTATTCATATTCAACAGGTTCGTATGATATCAGACTACCATAATCTGTATCTATAGCACAGTATACAGCTGTTCTGTATCATGCTATACTACACATACATGATGAACTAGACTGTATGTCGCAATACTGCACTACCATATTACGGGGCACCATGCCATATTATATCTTACGCTCCAGTATACGGGCACCATGCCATACTATATCTTACGCTCTACTATACTATACCCTACTTTTGTATGCACATGCGAAAAATACCACAATGCCACGCCTGGTGCCTCATAAGTTATATTAAAGCCCGGCCGGATCCTGGTCAGAGGTTTTTGGGTAAGCTTAGCTTAACATTGGTTCATGAGAAGCTTCATGAGGAGCAAGCAGGCCATAAGATAGAATCTACCGGGAAGACATCGTAATTCGCGCTGTTTCATATGGCGTCTATCTATAAAGAGCCTTGGACCAAGGTAATATACGGATAGGAAACTACATGAAGGTGGGTCTTCGAAGGGGTGACCATGGCTGCTTCTGGATGGGTGTTGCTCATTTTATGTTTTCGACTGCTTGATTTTGTGATCCGGTTTTTCACAAACAAGCGTCCACAGCGTCCTCCTCCCCAAACCCTTAACCCTAAACCCTAAACCCTAAACCCTTAACCCTAAACCCTAAACCCTTAACCCTAAACCACAAGATGAGTCAACGTTAGCGCCAAAACCTGAAGCTTAAAAGCCCCAGAATCTGAGCTAAGCTCTAAATCCCAGCACCCTGGCGCCCTTCAATCCTAACCGTCCTGACCCCCCCAAACCAATTCCTAAACCCCGAACCCTCATTCCCGTGAATCCCAAGACTCTCACAATGGTACGCCCCGACAACCCGAAACCCCAAATACCTTGAAGCCTAAACTCTCTCAGTCCGAAAACACAAACGCTGATTGGCGCGCCCTCACACCCCAAACACAAGCCCCGGTTTTTTTAAGGCCGTAGAAGAGTGATATCGCGGGGTTCAAACTGAAGAGCTGTTGTCGGTGTAAGGCAGCAAAAATTTCTGAAGCTCCAAAACCCCCCGCACTAACCTTATACCCGAGAAGCCTTAAACCCTGTGAATGCTAAACTCCCTAAACTCCCCAAGCCCTAGAAACTCTACGCACATGCCAGGTGCTCAGATGCAAGCCTTTCGGTACTCGTGTTGGGTCTCACTGCGACTACGGCAGTGTATCTGAACACTGCAAGGCCAAAGTTCCTCCGAAGCCGAATTATAGGGTTTAAGGGTTTAGGGTTTAGGGTTTAGGGTTTAGGGTTTAGGGTTTAAGGGTTTCGGGTTTAGGGTTTAGGGTTTAAGGGTTTTGATTTTTGGGGTGCATGGGTTTAGCGTCTATCGGTGTTGTGGGGTTTAAGGGTTTTGTTTTTTTGAGGGCATGGGTTTAGTGTGCATATTCCTCGACGGCACAGGGTGTTTTTTCAAGAGTGGGTACGCTTCCAATATTTATCAGTCATGACCCAAGCAGCGCAACATGAACTGTCCCTGCACCAAAACCGTAGACACGCAAGAAACAGATGAATAATCTTGGAGAGCGCAGGGATAGCCCCATGTGCCTGTAAAGGAGGGGCGGAGTGGCGAGGCTGCAACATAGGTGGCTTAATGATAGTAGAATGGGCCCCACAACCCTATTCCAATTAACTATTAAAGCCCCTATATTCGGTTGCACCTCTTGGAAGGAGTGACGGGGAGGAATCCCTGTCATCAAAGTTCTCGGCATAGGCATGAAGTCTTAGTAGTTGAGTAGGTAACTTTTCAGCCTCTGGGGCTTCGAAAATCCTACCATGGTTGAAAGGTTCACCTTTTCTGCGCTAGGGTACTCAGCCCCTAAGACCCTAAACCCCAAACCCTCAACCTTTTTGGGGGGCTAGGGTACTCAGCCCCTAAGAAGAGGTAGAGAGGTGCGTCTGCGGACGCATGACGGTTGGAACTCCAGGCCCAAGCGCTTCTATGGTCCGTGAGGCTCCACATTTGGGAGCTTCCGACCTTGCATTGGGGCCCTTATAATAAGGATCCTACTATTTAGGGTACTACCTTATTAGGGGTACCTCATAATAAGGAATCCTACTATTTGGGGTTATTTGGGTCCCCTGAAACTCCCACTTCGATCCATTATTGATTCCTTTTTGTATCCAGTGTAATATAGACTAGTATAGAAGCCTAATAATTGCCTTGGTTATTCCTCAGGATTCCCTATTACAACTACGCATACAATAAAGTTGCCATTAAGGCCCCTATATTACGTGAAGCCAAGAGCCGTAAATCTTTCCTACGGGATCTGTCAGGTGAGCCTGAGCAGCGGTATCGTTACATGAGACGGCTGGAATGCTGGGGAGAAAATACGGAATCATCCCAGAGACTCCAATATCCCTGAATTAAGGAATATACCCTAAATTATAGTAGGACCTTTAATATGATTTAAGGAATATTCCTAAATTAAGGGATATTGGAGTCTCTGGGATCAGGGAAGAGCGTCGAGTGCAGAGAGTTTCCAGCGTGTGCAATTTCCGAGGTGCAGGACTGACAAGGGTCAGTCAACTTACTATTTACTACTACTACTACTACTACTACTACTACTACTACTACTACTACTACTACTACTCCTACTCCTACTCCTACTCCTACTCCTACTCCTACTCCTACTCCTACTACTACTACTACTACTGCTACTACTACTACTACTACTACTACTACTACTGCTACTACTACTACTACTACCACTACCACTACCACTACCACTACTACTACCACTACTACTACTACTACTACTACTACTACTACTACTACTACTACTACTACTACTACTACTACTACTACTACTACTACTTTTATTCCAAGGTGATTGGTTTCTGTAGTGATCTGCCACCATCGTCAGTGATTGAAGCTCAACTCGCCGAACGACGAAGAGAGGACAAGACCCGGGATACGGCAGAACGGCAATTGATAAGCTCTTTACTTGCACTTAGAAGTTAAACGAATAGACGGTATCTAGACGCAGTGAACCTGAGACAAAAAACCCGCAACCGCAGCTTTTTGCGAAAATGGACAGCGAGGCAACGATTGTGCGCGCAGTGTGTCAAAGCTGTGCGAACGTACCGTAGAAACAGACCCTAAACCCTAAACCGTAGCTCGCAAGGTGCCGCTGGAGTCTAAACACTAGACTAAACCATTATCCTCAATGTTTAATGTAGGAACCTGATTAAGAAACCCTGGGCCTACAACCCCAAAATAGTAGGATTCATATAAGGAACCCTCATGCAGGCCCAGTTTCTGAATCAGGTTCCTACACTAGGCTTCAAGGGTTCGCGGCTTTTGGCACTACGAGTTCATGGGCACTTCGTTCCAGGTTGTCGAGTATTTGGTCCCCCAACACTTCCGGAACCGAATGGCTTTGTAATATGTCGCAGCATACACAGGAACTGAGTCAAGATGCAAGAGCGAAAAGCTTGAATAATGGCGGTACTACGATTCACAATATGATTCCACTACAATATTATTCCCCCCCGAAACCCTGTTCTAATCATGAATGTCCCATATGTTAGGGTATGAACTTTTCTGGGGCACCCCGATGGGAATCCTAAACCCTAAGCCCCTAGACCCTAAGCTCTCTGCTCGAGCGTTGGCTTTCATGCAAAGATATCCTGGGCAAGAGTCTCTATATCAACTCGAGGGTACTACAGTTTAGGGTTTAGGGTGGGTGGGTGTTAGGGTACTACGGTTTAAGGTTTAGGGTTGGCGTTGGGGTACTACAGTTCAGGGTGTAGGTTTGTAAATGCTCTGAGCCCGATATATAGTGGCTTATTTACTGGGGCCCAATGTTTGGGTAACTGGGCACTTGAGAGGAATCCAAATGCATGTTCGAGCTGCTCTTGGCAAAACACACAGAGATCTAGTTGAACTCTATAAACCCTATAAACTTCCATGGCTACATGCTCGGTTGCCAAAGACTGCGCCGAGCCACGCCGCTGTGGCAGTTTGATGCAGTGCTAGGCGCGGGTTTCAGGGTGGTGGGGCTCGGGTTTTAGTTTTCAAGATTTTCGGATTCTATGGTTTAGGATTTACGGACGTTTCGGAACCTGCTGCCGCAATGGTTCTGCCAGGGGTGCATGGCCCAGACCTCCCAAAATCCCGTAAACTGTTTGCTTAAACTATATTTGGGATCTTGCTATAATTTACAGTAAAGGTATATTTTCTTAGTTAAGGGATATCTTAGTTAAGGGATTTTGGAAGGTCTGGGCGTGTCTCGATAGAACTCGTTGTTGCAAGGTTTTCGCTCACGCTTTGAACCAAATCCAGAAGGGCTTCCTCATGAGAACTTACCTTGACCCCAAGTACAAATAACTTACCGCTTCAAGGACGTGTAGCCACTATAAGGAACCCGAGAAATGTAGGTGTAGGTTTCATAGGGTCCAGGTATACCATACTACACCACAAAACCCTATTTTGATCTCTGTATTGAGCCCTGAAGACTTGTTTCAACGATCTTTCATTGACGGAAGTTTGCCCACAACTCAATCTGGACAGAGGCTCATACACAAGAGCGTGATTCCAGCCTCTTCCGAGCATTTTCGAGGAGGGTAATACTGTGCCATGTGGCTCCAAGGGCAAAGCTACTCCGCAAAGCTTTCCCTGGCTTGGGTGCAGGTGCTTTCAGCTCTTGCTGCACACTCCAAAACACTACAAATGCATGAAGTGGTGAACAGGTTGGCACACTTGCATCCGGGGTGCCCCACGTGTTTCTTTGGAATTCTCGCTTGATCTTCTTGCATCTCATGCAGCTGTCATCAATAAAGTCGCGACCGATCTTCGACAGAGGGCCCTAGTGCTCGGTGCAACCGACCTGCCTATAGTCTCGATTGTAGTTCCTCTTTGTGGCTAACCAAATTCGTAGTACAGGATCCTAACCATAAGATTGGTCCCTAAACCCTAAACCCTAAACCGTGGAGAGTATATGTACTGAAGGCCTTTCCGAGCGAGAACGGCCGATCTTCTTTCTGCATGACCGAGTACTGCGGCGCATCGACCTAAAGTAGAAGCCAGAAAGTTGGAATATGATTATCCTAAACCCTTTATGGTAAATTACAAGGTATCCTACCCTGAAACCATATTCCAACTTTCTGGAGTTCCCTGTATAGTAGAAGCCAGAAAGTTGGAACATCATTCTCCTCATGCCCTTAAGGTAAAGCACAATAGATCCTAGCACTACTCCTCCTAAGCCCATGTTCCAACTGTCTGCAGTTCCCTACAATCTAGCTACTTCCGAAACATGCAAACCGTCTATACCGAAATTACGGACCTCTGCTTCCCGGTGCAAACCGTGAAGAATGTGCTTTGGCTTTTTCACCCCTAAGCCCTAATTGAGCCCTAAACAAAACGCCCTAGAAGCTAAAACCCCAGAAGGCCTTGTTTCCATGATCATGCAGGTAGGCAGATCGATGCCCAGCTCAAAGCGCATCAGGACACCGAGTGCAAGTTGCAACTTCGAGCCTTCAAAGCGAATTCATCAATCCTAGTGTACCCTTACTTGGAAGGGCAGGGGACTTAGTAAGTAGGTTATAAGCAGAGTTATAAGTACCCTAAATGGCGTTACCCCAATTATAATCCTACTTATAACCTACTTACTAAGTCCCCTGCCCCTCCAAGTAACCTTACGGAGATGCCTAGAATTCAGACACATCCACGATTACCCGCCCTAGACACTCAGCCACCAAAGGAAGGTTCAGGGTTCTGGGTTTAGGAGTCTCAGCCATTGAAAGCACGGGCTGCTGTACTAAACTCTGATTACATAGATAGCTTGGATTAGATGGGGATGTATAGGTGTCTAAGCCCTACAAATAAAAGCTCTGCTTATACAGATAGGTGATACAATGTACACTTTCCATCAAGAACAAGATGCCTAGAAGAGACCAGACCGCTGCTAATATTGGGGTCGGGATAATTCGCAAGAATATGCCCTTACAGTCCTTGTAGAATACACCAAGGCTTTAAACCATGTTTTGAGATACCCCAAACCATGTTCCAAGATTGAGACCCCTATATGGGTTCAACATCTCTAAACCCCCAAGCCCAGGAGCCACAAGCAACACGAATGAAAGGCCGGATAGGGCTGTTGAACACGCCTGAATCTAAGAACCCCTATAGAGCCCTAGGAACCTCTATACCACCCCCTAAACCCTAAAGCCTATAGGGTTTAGGGTTCAGTGTTTACGGATACAGCCGAATTAAAACCCTTGCGAAGCCCCAGAGCCCGATAAATCGCAGGATTCGACCTGGCATCGCGTCGCCAGCGCAGGCGGAGGACGCTGTTGCCGAGGGCGTCCGCAAGGCAAGGTTCTGCATAACAAATGTCAATATACTTAGATAGTGAGCAGGGGAACTTTAAGTTTTTTTGGCCCTATATAGTAGCTCGATCTTAGAAAGATTGAACGTTTTGGGGCCCGGTTGTTGAAGAAGAGAGTATAGGGGCCTTAACAATTACCTTATTGTTTTGGTGGTTCCTAATTATGATTATAGTTTGATATACCCCCGAACCCTATTCTAATTATGAAGGCCCTTTTATTATATCAGAAAGCATACAACATAATGTAATATCGGATGATCTAGCAGGAGATCATGTCATTTTTTGACAAATTACAGTATAGTAAATATGTAAAGTATAGTATAGCATGAGCCCCAAACCGTTGAACCGTAGCATTTGGGGTTCTACAGTTCTGGATTCCATATGGGGGTTGAGATGTTACAAGGCATAAGGGTTCTCCGTGAACTCAATTCCTGCAGCCATCGGGAACCGGAAGTGTTCAAGCCTAAACAACGGCCCGACAACACCAGAACCAGAAACCAAGCAAGGTTGAAGAGAGAGAGCGCTCCAAATGAGAACTTCAGGAACACCCTTACATATATCCGAAGAAGCAGGATTGAGGATTCAGAGTCTTTTCGACCACAGAACCAACTTACGCATTTCAAGTTGCTTAACTGCAGCCTTAGAGAATTGTCAGCGCCAAGCTTCTTGGAGCAGGGCTTGGGTTCGTGCAGATTCTGAGTAAACCCCAAAGGCCTGTCAGGGTGGATATAGTTCTGCTGCTGCCTCCATGTATATACTCAATGGGGAAAAGGAGGGACCCTTAATGGGGACCCCTACCCTATAATGGGCTATATAATGGGTATATAATGGCTATATTAAGGGTATATTACCTAGGGGTCCTTATTAAGGGTCCCTCCTGTTCCCCTTGGACATACGATCCAGATGCTCCAACTGGGCTACAGCTTGGTTTAGGCTCCAGCTGCAATCGACTTCGCTTGACAAGCGAGCTAGGCTGGAATTTGAGCACTGCAAAGCTGTTCTGAGGTCTTGTGGCACCCAGCTTTGCAAGCCTCCGCTCAAGACCCTTGTTGACCGGGTGTGCCTTTTACATAAAACGCACTTGCAGGAGCTGATGGAATAGGTCCGTACCAGTAGGTATTTCTCCCATGGCGAGATGCGCCCCGATGTGGCGTCTGACCTGACATGTGCAGCTTTTTGTTGGCCAACTGGGTGCTGGCCGTGAACATCTCGATATGGAATCGCTACATGCAGTTGCGGGGCCCCGATTCGACCACAGAACTCCAGTTTGGGCGCTGGTATCTGGTCCACAACCTGCTGAGCATCTCTGGGCTTCCTGGTTTTTCCATGCTGCAGCCTTTCTCAAGTAATTCTGCCGCGGCCGTGTACAACGGCGAGACTGGGTTATTGTTAAGGAACTTAAGTTACCATGACAATGACAGGGATCTTTTGCAAAAACTGTGGTTTCCTTATTCTGGCAACTTTGATCAAATCCCCCTTATGGATCGCCTAAAGGAGCCCATATGGATTCCGTGAAGGGGCCCTAAACCCTGAATCCCTTAACCCAGAGACTCCAATATCCCTTAAATAGGGAATATTCCTCAAATTATAGTAGGATCCCTCATATGATTTAAGGAATATAACTTGATTAAGGGATATTGGAGTCTCTGGGAACAAGAGCCCAGGAGATCTACAACCACCTCGACCTCCGACCTTTTCGAGGCTCCTCCCAGCCTTCGTTGGAAAAGGCGATGGTGAAGTGCTGATACCGGCCTACGAGGACTTTGGAGCCACTTTTTAAAAAATGCCTATCGGAGTGCATACAGTAGGTTTTTAAAAAATAAGTTTGTTTAAAAATATGTTTTTTAAAAAAACCTATGGTTTTCGAGGACTTTGGAGCCACTTTTCCCCGACACTTTGTCACAGCTGGGAAACATTTTGGATTTTGATCGGTACTTAAACCCAAGAAGGAATAAACAAATAAATTTGTACTACGATGCCAACCATCAACTAGGGCACTTGGATGGTGAGTTCGCCAGGAGGCTTTGGTGGACAGGAAGCTGGAGATAGTGGTTCTGGCCGCGGACGCTTTCGGCACAAAGCCTCTTTGGTACGGCATCTCCTCCGACGGGCTGCGCTTTGCTGCTGCATCCTATCGAAGTGCACTCACAGGGCTTGACCTTTCACAGATACGGCCTGTGCCCCCGAACTCGATCCTTGTTTTCACCGCAAAGGAAGCGGAGCCCGTCCAGCTCATTCAGCAGTTTGCGCAGTTTGAGTTTGACCTCAGGCAGTGGAAGTCCGACACCAGAGATTGGGAGAAGGCCTTCGTGCGAGCTGTAGCCCAAAGAGCCGGGCAAAGTCGTCACCAGTTTTGGCTTGGCCTGAGCAGTGGACACGATTCCGGAGCGGTCCACTGTGCCGTGGAGCTTTTGGCATCTGGCGCACTCCGCGAAGGCAAAGATGAAGGTGAACTGCGGAACACCACACTACCACAATTGGAGTCATTTGGCCGGAAGGGTTACGCCGCATGGATCGTGCGTGCCGTCGAATGGATGGACTACCTGCACGACCGCGTCGAGTACCATGTGGATGTGCATATCTCCGGGTTAGCGTTTCTCATCCAGCTCGGGCTGCTGGACTACCAGGAGCATCAGGTCTTAATTCACAATCGTGCCGAACCATCATCGTATCCGTTGGTGATGGATGGAGCTGCCGTCGCGTTGTCCATCATTGGGCAGAGAGCGCGACAACTGGGTCAACTGGTCTACATCAGTGGGCAGGGGGCCGACGAGGTGCTCAGTGACTATGGCTTTCTCGGGGTACATGTGAACATTGACAAGGACCGCATCAGCCCGAAGCGCCGCCGGCATCAGTTCTTCCCGGAAGACCTTTCCCAGATCTTTCCTTGGAACAACTTCTTTCGAGGTACGATGCGCAACTTCATATTCAAGGAGGAAGTGATCCTAGGTGTCCACGGGATTGAGACTCGGTACCCCTTTCTGAGCACACGGGTGGTGCAGGAGTACCTATGGCTTACGAGTGAAGCCAAAAATCGACTGTACAAGGCGCCAGTTTCCGAATTTCTGTCTCGGTATGGCTACTCGTATAAAGACTCGTCAAAGCTGGGCTTCAGTGCATCACAGAACGTCGATCCCGAGGCTTCCAGCGTTAGCATGCTGCCCACAGGCCGGCCTATTGCCAAGAAGTTCTGGGAAGACCTTCTGTTGAAGACAAGTGTCCATTGCTTGGGTGGCAACAGTGTGCCAGGAATCCGGGAAGAGCTCCTGGAATTGGCTTCAAAGCTGCGGCGCCCATGTGCACTTTTCGGCGATATTAGTGAGTGGATCGTGGCAAAGAGGATTCTAATGTGGGCCAACCTGTTGACGGACTTCACCCCTCGCTCCACAGAGTGCGATGTAAATGCAGTCGCAGTCCACTTTGCCGGCTTGGCGCTCTGGAGCCTGAAAGGGGCCCAGAAAAGGTCGGTGAGAGCGGGAGGATCACCTCCTCCGTGGCCGTGCACTTCGAGGGCAGGGGGAGGGAAGCGGGCCCGCTCTTTTCAACGCGCCAGATGCATTGGGTGTTGAACATGGACTGGAGTGAGGCTGGGAACTGGAAGCTCTTGGGTTTGGTGCTATCTCTGGTGGCCCGTGCCGCTGCCAGAGCGGCCTCGCTGCTGCCTGGGGTACAGGGAGATACTTCCCTCTGTGACTACAGACTTGAAGGACCGGAGGCGCTACAGCAGAGACTGCGTGACTTGTGGGACACGTGGCGGTCGGATACATCGAATGGGCTGCCAAGCGTCGTCCATTTCCTGGCGGTCACGGAGCCATTGTGGACAGCCCTAGAGCCAGAAGGCCAGCCGGAGGGCTCCAGCTGCCCCAAGAACGTTCAGGAGATGTGCGCCACACCTGGAGCCACGCTGGAAATACGCTGATTTGGCGCGACTCGGGACGACCCTTAACTTCTCGGACCTGGAGTATGTGCGTGGCGAGTATTCGGCCGATGGTTTCACTTCGAAAGACACCATCAGCTTGGTGACTCTTTTTGCGAAAGGCTCTCAGCCTTTTGGTGTGTGGCTCACTCCCAAAGACGACGTCCCAATGTTGCAGCATTTCGCTAAAGATGAGGACGGCTGGTACGCGGCCCATCAACTACTGCAGACCACGGATAGCTTTAAAGGTCCATTGGAATGAAAGCCTTGCCCACTTGACGATCATGTACCAGGTTTTACCGTGCTTTGCACTACGGAATACTCGCTACGTCGAGGCCATCCCACTGAGAAAATCATACATCACGCAGACTGACTCTCCAGAAGCATGCTGCATGCTGTGCTACCAGGAGACGAAGTGCGAGACTTGGATGTGGCTAATGGATGGCACCGGCAGCACGGGCTGCTGGCTTGCTAGGGATGTCAGTGGCATCCAGAACGTTAATGGTGTCATCCTTGGTCAGATACGCGCCAGCAGCTGATCAAAAGACGCATGCGACGTGATAGGAAGCTCGCTCAAGAGTGGTGTCACGTGTCCTTTTCTACTTGTGCGCAATGACATGTCGCAAATCACCAGACCACTGAGCACGCCATTTCGTGTCATCCTCAAAAGTCGTTTCAACCAGCTCCAAAGCCCGGAATACAAAGCACCGGCGGTTGAGGGTGCGGGGCCCGGGGCTTCAGGAACAGGTGCTGAAGCATTTGTAGAGTTCAATAGCTCTGTCTTCTCATCATCTTGGCAGCAGTTCGGACCGAGTTCAAGGTCAAGCTCGGCTGCTCTCCGAGTAAAGTTCACGAGTCCGATTCGCATATTCTTGGGCCCGAACCCCAAAGCCCAAAACCCTCAAACCCTAACCCTAAACGAGATAGCATCGTGGCCTGTGAGTTTGCTTGGCCTTTGTAGTTTCCTGTCATGCTGACAACAATTCGAAATACTCTAAGTGGCAGCTCTCGGCAATGTTCACTGCTCCCTGTGCTGATGAACTGTAAGTCAGCATCCTATGCCGACCACTCAAAGCCTTCTGCACCTACCTAGAGTAACCAACGTACCTTTCAAAGAAGGGTTTGGCCCTAACAGAATTGGTACATGTACCTGTTTAGGGTACCTTGGTTATCCTAGGTAGAGCTCCAAGCCTAACCCTCTAAATCCAAACACTAAGCCCTAGGCCCGGAACCCTCTAGTTTCACAAAATCGAAACTGCACACGGGCCTTTTGCAGAACCACAAGCCATGCATCCGCAAGGCATGTCGGGAGCTGGATAGCCACCTCGAGGCCTTTGAGAAGTTCTGCTCTGAGGCAGAGACGTTGGCCACGGCACTTCGGCAGAGACGAAGAAGGGTTTAAGACACAGGGCTGCTAAACCTTTCAGGGAGCTGGAACGAACCCGAAAGCCTAAAGCGATTGCAGCTGCAGCTGGGATTCAGGGTTCCTGCTCTACTAACTGCGCTACGGCAGGGTTTCAGGCTTCTGTATGTCTTCGAGGGCTTGGTCGATGTTGGTGTATTGCAGAATTTCTGGCCTATCGGCGGAGAGAGCTTTAACGACCGTGTAAACCCTAAACCATCCTACATCCAAAACTTGGCGGCAGGGGGAGGGGAGACATGGCTGGGTTTTGAAAAGGCTTCGGGTTCTGTCCGAAAGACGCAACAGCAGGGTAAGAAGGTCCGGGGTTGAGGTCAGTGCGAACAGAAAATTTAAAAAACAACAAACCTGGAACCCCTAAGCACAAAGTCCTAAACTCTCAAACCCAAACCTAGACCTTAAACCCTAAACTTACCCCACTTAACAAAGACTTACCCCCAAGCTTTCATCGCGGGAGTCTGAGGCCATGGAACTGGTGGCTGCCAAGATTGGGCTCTTAGCTTCACCCGGTACTGGCGCCGTTGCGCGGGCACTGGATGAGCATCCCGGGGCCAAGGACTGCTTGTTGGGGTTTAGGGGTTTAGGGTTTAGGGTTCAGGGGTTTAGGGTTTAGGGGTTTAGGGTTTAGGATTTAGGGTTTAGGGGTTTAGGGGTTTAGGGTTTAGACTCGCCAGATTCCAGCGAAGGGCCGACTTCGTGGGAATACGGCGATTCATTCGAGGGATCTTGGCGAAGAAAAACACCGAAATCACCACTTCCCCTACGAAGGAATTCAGGTTTAAAGACATCTGATAGAGAGTGTTTAGGGGTTTACGGGTTTAGGGTTTGAGGGTTTAGGGCATTAGTGTGTAGGGTTTAGGGATTTACGCCTTTAGAGTTTAGGGAACCTGAATCCTGAAGCCTGAACCCTCCACTCTTCGAG